TCGTCGAACAAACCAGTGCCACGAATTTGAAAACGTACGAAACCCACGAAAATATGACACCAACACGTTGTCAGAAGGCGGCCTCCACGCAGTTCAGCCACATGCGACCATTGGACCAGCCAAGGCACCTTTGGGCGATCATCTGCTGCTCCTCTACACGCCTACGGCATCCAGCCTTCATGAGATTCATCTCATCACCGTGACCGCGCTACTGCAAGTGATACACGAGATGCCGCGGGCCGCGGGGGAGAGTGAGTGGCAGGGTGTGTTAATGCGTTGTAGAAGGTACTTTGAGAGTGCTTTTTACCGGCGAAGACGTCCCAAACGAACCAAACGCAACCTCCTTCCTGTTCTCACCAAAGAACACCCCACCACTCAACTGTCCACCCACATCCGCGGTGGAGTCGACTGGCTGTGCTGCTGCTGCTGAAACGGTTGCTGCACGGGGACACGCCCGTGGTCGCAAGTAGGGTGTCAGGAGCGCTGTCGTAGTCGTAGCGGTGTTGATTGTCAAAGGGATATTGCATGCCCCCATCGGCTCTAGCTAAAACTATTTTTTGACATGTCGTCCATCATGAATAGAGTGGACTTGCATCCGTCCTCCCCATCCCAGCCATCATCCATCCCCCAGCAGACCACCCATTCCCCGCCTTGGAGGTCAAGGAAACACTGTTTCCTTCCACAACCGAAAACCGAATTCGGATAGAAACCTGCATGGCGACAGCATCGTCACGCTGCCTGTGGACCTGGCCTCTGCTGAAGGCTTGAATCGCTGTATTGGAGATCAGATTCCGCCCTTATTGTTGTCCATCTGTTGACTCCTCAGTATGTAATGATCTATATTCCTCATGAATCCCCCAGGTGCTGGGGTTGGTGACAAAACCTCCCGCTATACAGCCTGAGGGAGGGCCGGCCGTGCCCGGGGGGTCAGTTGAGAGCTTGTGGCTACTCGGTCGATTGCCCAGCTGCTTTCACACATGCATAAACCATTAATCGCACCTGCAAAGCAAATCGCTTGATGAGGAATCCGTTCCCTCCTACGAGAACGATCCTTGTCCGTCGAATGTAGACCATGCTCTCGGGACCCGGATAGGATCTGGAAGTGATGATGACTCTCGGGGCTGTTCTCTCCCAACAAACGGAACGTTGAACTTTGTTGTCCCCTCTGAGAGGCGTTGGTACCTTGCCCCTCGCACTTCATACCCTGGGGAGGCCGCGTCTGGGGGAATAAATGAGGACATATGGCTCTCCGGTCCATAAGCAGGACCGGCAGCGCTGCTGAACTTACTTCGCGCCCCAGGTTGGGGGCATCCCGCACGACTTGCGACGGCATGGCGGCGTCACGCTCGGAGGGGGCGTACACCACGGCGGCAGCAGGAACACTCACCGACAGCACGGGAGGCTGCAGGAGGTTCCCCCCAGCACTTAATGAGCAATGTGCATGATTCTGCAGTCATTCTAGCCCAAGACGACCTTCCATTGGTGTGTTCCGTTGTTGTTTCTACGGCCCGATACGGAGGTTCCGGGTAAAAGAATAGGCGAGATTCGGGATGGTCTTGAAGATATGCACTCCAACTCCAAAGCAAAACCCCAGCCGCTTGAAAGCGCTCACAATCGCAAAGCCTTTTTGTCCACCGTGGCCCACCGCTGCACACTTTTGAAGGCGCCGCTCCGAAACCCCGTCGGTTCATCAGCCATGTCCTCCACGGGAACGCCACGATCCAACTGATCTTGCAGCACCTGGGTTAAAAAACTCCGTGTTTGATCAGGACCATCCGGAAACATAGCATTGGCGCAATCGGAGCGGGGGCGCGACAAGGCACCAAACATCATTGACAATAAGGTCTTGGGCGGTATCCACGCTCCAGAAAATGCGGGCGTCCATGCGTCCGTAGCTATCGCCCGGTTCTCCGCCACGCGCTTGTCCGGCTCTTGGCGGCGCCATGTGCTGTTCTCAAAACCTGCCAAGCGGCAAAAACAACCTCTACTTACAGCGGTAGAGGCGTGCCAGCAAATTTACCACCTGCAATGAACTGCGTTAGCTCTCCAGCGACGCAAAGGACGCCAATATCTCCTCCCTCCTCAGAATCCGTGCCTATGTCCGGGCCTCGTGCAATCAAATGCTAGGCCGCCGGGTCCGCTCTTCGTGCCCCCCAGGTTACTTAATATTCGAAGTCAAAGTCTTCTATTTGATATGAAGTGAGCTTCTGCCCAAAAGGTTCAGCTTGTACCGCCAGATCTAGCTGCGTTTTGCGTGTTGGATCACGAAGCTTTGTACAAACGCTCAATACGGACCAAGTTCGAAGTTTGTTCCCAGCCACATACCGGTATGCAACAGCGTCCGGGGGTCTTATAATGAGCCACGGAGCGCGAAGCGCGACCGTTCTTTTCCCTCCGTCCAAGGAGAGAAAAAACAGGCTCTAAATATCGGCCAAGTTCCGCCACGTTTTGCAGGGGGCCCAGACTTGATTTCCGGGAAGCCTAAACAACCCATCTTTGGGACCAGAACGAGATCTACAGGGCACCGATTGACGATCTGTTCGCTTCTGAGGAAGAAGAAAAATAGCGCGCTCTTCGTCACACCGGTTTGGGCGTGCTCCGCGACAGCAGACGGCCGTGCTACACAAGCGTCTGTTTCCTAAATTCGTAGGAGATTGCTCTCCCCAACCCATCGGTTTCTCCGCGAAAAGGGGAAACATAAACGGAGATCGCGCGCCCGCGCGACTGAAACCAGGAGAGAAACAGAGACAGAGACACAACACCACAAAAAACGCATCACCGCTGGGACGCTGATCCGACCGAGACCAGCAATAATAACCAGCAGGGGTCGAGCCTATACGACCTGCGTGCCGTGGGTATAGTCATGCATGCGACATGTTTATCCTGGCCGGTATTTATTGATGTTGAGAGGGTCCAACTGACAGCTCAAAAAACAGCAGGCCGATGATCACAAACACACAACATAACGCACCTCCCTTCCCAAGTCCAGACCACACCTACCATTGAGAGAAATCCTCGAGGCCTTGAGTGTCTCTACTGCTATGCGCTATTAGGATGGTTCCCCGAGATCGTTTCAGGTTGCGTACTTGCGCCGTGCTACTGACTGTCTTCGCAAAAGCCGTGCCCTGCTTGTTGTTGTTGCTGCTGGGTCTCTCGCATCAAAGTCATGGCCATCAACGGCTTTTGTTTTTTGTACATGTGTTGTAATGTCCCGTGACATAGATCGCTTGCTTTCACTTGGCCGGAATTCCGGAAGGCTTGAGACGACTGTGGAAGGTAAGTTGTGAGCCTGAAGCAATATTTGCCATCTGTCTGTCTCTCGCGCATCTGTCTGTCGCAATCCTATGTCTACGTTGCTGCTCGTGCTCCTCGGTGGTGTGATGTGTGATATGCTCGCCGCCAGGTAAATGCCGTATGTACTCCTCTTCCAGACGCGTCTGCGTCCACACAGCGGGAAGACGTGATGTTGTGGTTCTTGTGTGCTGGTTGGCACCAACGGGAAAGAAACTACCTCATGTAAAGTGCAAAACATTGAAACTGGGGCCGCACATACAACCAGTTCGCGCTCGTCGCACCCTGTCTCTCTGCTGCACCACAAGCGATTCACGCTGCTGTGTGTCGGCATTCGTGCACCATCAGCATCGCAAACTACACTTCCACGCGGCTCATTTCCCCGATAGGCCGGCACAAGTGAAAAAACCTTGCGAATATTCTTCAAGTTTCTTTTTCGCATTGCTTGCATCAATTGTACCTGCATTCCGTAAACCTAATACAACACAAACCGAAAAACAATCATTTCTAGGTCGTTGCTCCATACGACTAGTAGACATCAGAAGACGACGCCAAATGCACATCACCGCAAGACCGACCACCTTCTTGGGCATAAAGTCGCTTCTACAAATGTGACCGGTTTCAGTGCTGCATATCTTGGTAGGTTTCCTAGAGTATTGATGGAGGTCATCTGGGGTAGGAAGGCTGGTCTGGGGAAAAACTTGTTGGATTGGTTTGCGGATTTTTTGTTCTTGGACAGCGTAGAACAAAGGCCGCGGAATGGCCAAGACACATTTTTTGCCAACAGCGCTACACAAAAAGACTTCGCTATAGGTGATTACCATGGTCCATAACATGTGTTGATTGGTGAGGAACTACGTCCATTGTCACTTGCGGAACAACCTTTGATTTATCCCGAACCTGAAGTTATTGGGTGTAAGTACTCACGCCTTGCTACACAGCAAATCTAATACAATTGTACTACGCTGCGTTGATCATCGCCTTGGGGAAAGAGGCGATACACACGTACTAGAATGTATTTAGCTGACGATACCCCCTTTCTTGTCCCATCTGGGGGGGCTCTTATGCCCACATCACTCATGAATACTTCTCGTCCACCGGGTTTGGTAGCCCCCTATGTTACGGGGCGGCGTGGGGCAGAGGTTGTTGGCCTCAAATGTCACAGAGCGAGCGGAGGAAAGCGTGTTCAAACCCCTCCTCTTCGACCGCTCCGTAAAAAGATGAGTGAATGACAAGTACTCTCGTGCACGGCGGGGGGAGTGAATATCTCGCGAGATAATACCCCCTGTTTCGCCCATCTAGGGGGCGCTCCTGATCTACAATGTTTCTGTGAACAGACGGACGAACGCACGGGGTGTGCGATAAATGTTTAAAGCTCCCTCTATGGACTGGGGAGTCGTGCTTGGATGAACGGGCAAATCGCCTGTGGCTCTTCAGTCTAGGTGTAATGTGAAATGAGGCACATGTGCACCGCGCGCGTATCACAAAGCCCCCAAAGTTGCGCCCATCACAATGTTCGGAACAAAAGCATAACAAACTTGGATTTCGCCTACAAACACCAGCCAACCGCTTTCCCCAGGGGTCTGAACCTTTTGTCCCAGATTTCCTAGTTACAAACGTCCAGAGGTCCGGTTCATCCGTTCCCACTTCAAAAACAGTGTGTATCAGGAATAAACCTTTCCCCACAAGAATCGATCACAGCGTCAAAATATACGTCAAGATGTACAGAAGTAACAGCGAACCCATACAGCAGTTTAAGGGTCTTCTTGTCTGCACCGTAGGAGAACGCAGATTCCGCTACAAAAAGGCCGTTTTAGCGGGACCTCCAGAATTTCTATCTGAGCTACAAGTCACGCAATGACTTCCGCGTCCCAAACAGACGTACACCTGGGCACGCGCTCTTGACGTGGGTGGTCAAGCTTCTGCGTACCACGCGTTGTCCTCGACTGGTCTATTGATAAAATGGGTATCAACAACCATTGCCCCCCATTTTTCGGCGAATTCCTTCGTCCAAGAGCTACCATGCGTCGGGCTTCCAATGCAGAATATCGTCGAACCACTCCCGGACATGAGCACGTGTTCAAACCCTAGGGTCTGCGGATGCAACAGACGACACGACGTTCGTTTAGTGATGCATCACACTATGATCCAGTTGGCAATGCCTGCTTGCTGATATATCAGTATTGGAAAAACATCTCCGGCTTACACACAGTGAGGAATCCACAGAGGCTGGTTTCAAGAGCAGGAAGCCAACACTAATAGTTCATGGCTCTTAGATTTGATATCAATTCTTAATAAATCAAAGGAGGGATGGCGCTGACCGACGATTGAAGACTACAAAGTCGTGGGACTCAAGTCACCAAAATGGCCACACAACAAGAAGAGTGAAAACGCACAGTGATGATGGGAGACAACGTACGTACGGAATCAATGGCCATACCTGCAGCTCTTCCTTCATCGTTTGCAACGATGGCATTGCCTTGAACGCAGGCAACTCCAGATCGTTCACGTAGTCTGCTTCAGCAAGGCCTTCCTCTATGAATTGTTTGAGTAGACCGGCTGGCTCAATCCGAGAGAGTTGGTCGTAGTCAAGATGTCTAAACACAACGGGTGTGCTTAACCCTTTGTTTGGTTTCACCAACCACACCCTGTTGAGAAGAGATGTGGAGGGTGGAGGTGAACCGCAAACACACACGACCGTGCAACGAGCTCTGGAAGCACAGAACGAACAGCTTCAGGATAGGGTAGAGGATATGCGGGTAGGCAAAAACCAATTTCGCAGAGACACCATGCAAGTAAATCTCATGCAGGTTAACAATTCATGAATCTGCCAGCTCTAACTATAAACCAACGGCTTCTGTCGAATACCGCTGGCGCCCGTTGAGCTTTATGCCCTCGTCCTGCATCAACAGTTGAATGGAGGCGTGGGCAACGTGGCTCTTCTGCTAGAATAGTACGATCGCGAACTGTGGGGGAAACGCCGCATCTTGCCGGGGGCAATGCTCGACGTAGGACCCAAGTCTAGGGTCTTTCGGTGTGCGATAACGACAGTGCATGTATGATGCTGGGACAGCCTCAATAAAAAAAACGGGGAGGCGACGGCAATCTGCCCGTCGCTTATCACCTGGTCTGTGGTAACGGTTCTTGAGGGTGAAGTACCTCCCCTCGCCCTGTACAGTAGCACGTGCCTGTCGATAGAAAGAAGGTAATGTCAGACCCAAGCTCTGCAGACCACAACTGCAGATCTTCCAAGGATGCTGGATGTCCTGCCAATTTATTCGCAGCGAACAGCGCCGTGGCGGCATTGGCACTTCCACCTCCAAGACCAGCCTCCGGTGGAATACGCTTGCTCAGATACACCTGCGCATTGTTAGTCCACACAAAACAAAATCCCGGCAAGCAGCAAGACCACGAGTCCCGCATGGAAAAAAATTAAAAAATTACAACCTTTTCGATCACGGTTCCAAAGTCAATGCTGGAATCGCCGAATAGTAGAAATATGCCTGTCGGACACCCACTGTCTCCCAAGCACAAATACATCCTAACCCATGCCCTGGGGCACCCGAACAGACTAAAGGGCAATTACAACCTCGGCTTTGTTTCCACCGCACGGCAATTTTTCGAGAAAAATCGATGGTATCTAAACACAATACAATTCGTGTCCAAAGCACCTTTGTAGGACGGGTAGCCAGGAAAACTCCTCCGATTTTGAGCGTTGTTCGCCTCTTCCGGGCGCAATATTGGGCGGTTAGCATCTTTTATTCTATCACAACTTTGCCAGCGATGATGCGTCAGCTTGCACGCACTGGTCGTCCCGGTGGTTCAGTAGGTAATCTGTCAACCTTCTGGCGTTGGCACATGAGCTCGAATCTCCGCGCAGTCACACGAACTGGTACAGTACTGGGCCCTCAAAAGTGCCGATTGAATAGTGCCGGTGCCCGGTATAGTGCCGGTAAAATCTCTGGACACAGACAGCCGGTCCGGCACTATTGAGGGCAGCCCCGATACAGTGCCGGTTGGGCACCACGGGGGTAGTGCCGGTGTACACACACATTCAACCGCACTGAGAATGACGTCTTTTCATTGGTCAGATGGTTAGCACGGTCGATGCTAATAATAAAAACAACATAATTCGAGTGCAAGGTAGCAGCCTTTGTAGGCGTGTGCACTTTTCTTGTGTTGCTACCGTTTCTGTCTTTGATCCGGAGAAAAGGTTTAGTCTCCCCCATGCCGCCCCCTCACGGGGATCCAGTTAATGCCATTTAGAAGTGTTTTGTGTTTTCAACCGCACTGAGACTGACGTCTTTTCATTGGACAGCCGGTTAGCGAGGTCGATGCTAATAATAAAAACACACACAACACAGCCCGAGGACAGACGCCACACAGAATACATACAGAGTTCTCGTGCTGCTGCAGACCCAAACAGCTCTGCGCAGAGGCGCACCATGCCTTGTCCGGAAGGTGAACTGTGCCTTCAACAAAACAGCACGCCGCAAGCCCCTCACGAGAGAGTTTGTCGAGACGTAGTCAGAGCGGGGGGTGCATGGTTGTTTTGTTTTTCTTGCGGTGCGCTTCCTGTGTGCTTTTCTTGTGTTTTCTTTTTCTTGCAACATCGAAGCAGATGCGCTAGGCAGACATGAGAGAGTTTGCCGCGACGTAGTGAGGGTGGGCGGTACCTGGATGTGTTTCTTTTTTGTTTCGTCTTTTGTTTATCTTGCAACATCGAAGGACGGCAACCAGGACTGAGATTTAGCTTCGTCCACTAACACACATTTTCGATCCATTTCGTACTCTGTTGGCCCAGCAAAGCGTGAGTGCCACACCATGAAATCAAGCACCTCCTCAATAGTGCCGGATAGTGCCGGACCGGTTCTATTGAGGCACTATTCTGAATAGTGCCGGTGCCCGGTACAGTGTCGGTAAAATTTCAGGACACCCCCCCACACTGTACTTGTTTATTACAGCAATTCCACCACAAGTGGACCATGATCATTCGGTGGTACACAATATTAATGTTTCGAACCGGTCGAGGAGGATCCGGGACGACTGGAACCGTCTCGCCGAAGAAAGCAGAGGCAAGTACCGGGGAAAAAGGAGGACGGGGAAAAGTGCTACGTGGTGCACAACCCCGGCTGGTTCGTCCACACATATATCGAGAGATTTAGTCTGATGTGCAGAGTAGACGATATGACAAAACCTTCGTATCCCAAAAAACGCCAACTAACTTCTCGTCGACACTTTGTTTGTCCTGGCGGTTTGCACACATTGATTGCTAGAGTATGTGTCACCGAACGAGACCTCCGAATCTACCGCCTCTTCAACTCCCTGGCAAGCGGCTTCAAAATCATAAAAACAACATCTCTTCAGCCGGTTCTTGTTGCCCAAAACCTGCGGTCTGCTGCACACGACGCCCGCACACACCATCAAAGGAACGCGGCTCAATTCGTGGCCTGCGGTTGGTTGTGAGGAGCTGTGGCGATTCGCAACTGTTTCCAGTTTCAGTTTTACCATCACTTTCGTCTACAGTCGGGTGTATACCTGTAAGTACTTCGCACCGATCAATCCCGAGCTTCAGAGCTCTTTAGATAACTGCGGACACCTGCTCCGCAGAGGACTGCAAGCAGCTTCGAATGTAGCACAAACTTTAAACGCCATGGCCAACTCAGGGGGTTTTCGGAGCAATTGGTGCTGAGTGTACAGCACATTGGGTTTATGTGTGAAAAATTGAGGGATTGCGGTGTTGGGTATCGTCAAGTCAAAATACCAAGCAAAGAGCCCTGAGGATGAACAGGGATGGTTCCTCGGCAGAGCTCTCTCAAGGGCACAAGTACGTACACATTTTCAAAAAGGGTACAATGAAAAGTCCAAGCAGCGGAGCAAGAATTCGAACCGCTTCAACTGAAGCAGCTAGGTGAACTTCTCCGTGCTCTTCTCATCGCGCATAAAATCGGCCCTGTGTTTTGTACCGAAACGATATTTGCTGCGAATGCTTGGAATGCGAGCGCCTCTATATAAAAATTAGAGATGTTGCTTGTAGGACACAGCAACACGTTCGGTGGAGCGTTGCTGGAACCCAACTGGTGTGCACGGAGATAAAAGAAAGTCCGTGTAGGGGCGACACAGGCAGGGAGGGATAGAGACAGGGGAGCGTCGTCTGTGGGGCTTTCGGGAACATCGGTTGCAGCTAAATTGGGTTCTATGTATGTGACGATGTAGAAACCCACATGAAAAGCGGGGATTGACGTGCCTTCGGCCCCCCAGGGATGCCCAGGGATTTCCTCTTCCGGTCAAGGGGAATCTTGTTGTTAAAAAAAAAACATCAACCAATAACGTATGCCGTCATCGTGGTGGCTAGTTCCCTTGCAACAGGTAACAGGCATTCAGTTACCGCAAAACACTGCGCATAACCGTCGTGACTGTTCCCGTACAAAAAATACCGTGGTGGCTGGTTCCCGCCCAAAAAATGCCGTGGCGGCCAGCTACGAACGACAATAAGTGCATGCCGCGATCGACCTGTCACACACAAGGAATCTGTCACGACCTGTCTATAGGATGGTCATCATCGACATCCAAGACCTAACAATCGGTGCGAAATAAACGCTATGGAGAACCAACATCGACGATAAGGCGTGTGCCTGGTGCACGCTTATAATGTGTTTTGTGTCCCTAGAAAGTAACGTAGTACAGGTAGCGACACCAGGCCAACTGCGGGCACCGTGTTTCAACGGCGTGTTCCGCACTGCGAAGAAGGCACAATACTTGAAGTAAAGTATTTCGGACCACGGCAGAACGTGGACCCTTTTCTCACTCATCCTAATCATAGCTGTCACCTCGGGGTGTTTTACACTATAAGGCTTCAGCGTGTCTCGTGTATTGCTCTCAGTCAATTAGCACTCGAAGGTTGGCACGGTTTACCATTCACTTTTCACACAAATGCGACCACCCTGCTACTACAGCACTCAACATAGGAAATGCTCCGTTGAACTTTCGAACTAGAAAAAATAGCAAAATCAACTAATTGGCACCAATTCAAAACCCTTGACCCCCTTACCACACGCACAGAAAATTCGGTGTTCTTCCAAAATTTGTGACTTGTATGAAAAAGACAAGACGACGCCTGCTGATTGGATGATGCAGACAGTTCCATCCCTGGGTACAAGTGCAAAGCTGCCTTCCCACCTGAGCCGTCTCTTGTCAAAAAGCCCTATCAAATGTCCCCTCGATAGACAACAACTGGCGGGAGCGTGGCAAACGGGGCACGAAAAGGAGGTTTTCAAGATATTCCTAAAAGGGAAAGCGAGACCTTGTAACCCATGCCCTAGCTTGCCCGGTGCCGCTTTTCATCGGTGGGCTAGGTGCTTCTTCCGCGCTTGTTCCTTGTAGCGCTTTCCACCCAAGGGTAGACAGACGCGGCGCACCTTCGCTGTTGAACCCGTGGCATAATCGTCCCGCGATTCGACCTGCCATTACCCTCATGTTCCTCCACTTTACAAAACATCCCACTAGACTAGCAGTTTCCCCGTGTACCCCGGTAGCCCCATTGTCGAGCAGTTCAAAGGAGGAGATAACCATGCCCCTCATCGCGAGGTTAAGCAGGTGAAGAAGATGGGGACATATGTATCCCAAAAGCTGATCTAGCCCTAATGGGGTTAAAATGTGATCCACTTTAGTCGGAAACGGTTCCCATCCTGGTGCGTTACGTTGAGGCAACGGATTGGTACCTCGTTCTCCGCCCTACACGCTTGACCCCTTAAGACCGTATCGCCATTGCGACTCTTTTGATCCGATTATCCTTAATACCGGCACTGTCCCCACCCCTTAAGTTGAAAATCGGGTAGAAGCTTGAAGAGATCAAGCACATGGGCTTCCTTGAGACAAGGGCGTTGATGCCCAAGGTGTTGCCAGTACCAAACAGTTAGTAGGTTGAATGCACAAAAAGTACCCGAAGCACCCGAATTGACTTATCGCGGCCGCCACACGCCCACTGTAAACAGCGCGGCCTTCGCTGAACCGCAATGACATGTAACATCTCGCACAGCACGATTTGCGGGCCTCTCCCGTGCTTGAGGGATCCATTTGCGCGAGACATGGCAACATCTCCAGCATAGCAAAAATGCCTTCACAGCGACTTGCTGTCAGTACTGCCACAGAATAAAGTGATATGAACCGTGTTTCAAGCAACCGCAGCTCGTACCTCGTAAAACTGCTGGCTGGAGGTGCGCTTCCGAAACAGATCCAACGCCCGCAGCACGAGATTCGACCCATCAGTTGGCACCCCTTCCATGTTGCAATTGAAGGTATCTGCCACCGCGCTCTCTGGCAGTTTTCGGAAGAAAAGTTTGTCGCCGAATCCAACTGTCTGAAACGCGAGCAACGGATGGGGCAGAGCATTACACGTACTTAACTATAAGTCGAGCCTCGTGGTTTGATGCATTCCAACAATAATTTGCAAGCGAGAGTCATCTAGTCCTCAAACATGCGGTCAAAAAAGTTTGCCTCGTAAAAATTGAGTGCGACAGCCCATCTACAGTAATAGGGATAGCTATTTCGGTGTTGTAGCCCGTGCTTGTGCAACGGACAACTCAACCCATGTCTTACCACAACCGAGGTAGGTGCTACTATCAAGAGCAATCGGCAGTCGGCAGGGGAAACGAGAGGTGATAGCATCGTAAGTACGTCGCGCGAAGCCTTGATTTGCCAACGACCACGTACGCGGGACACATCCTCCCTTACGTAGCCTTAGGGTTCGTGACACTCGTTCACAAAAGAGACACTCAATACATTAAGCAGGCTGCGGCTTGTTCATGAGCAAAAAATGACTGTTGCACATAGCGAAAGAGCATGAGATTCTCGGGAGCGGTACAAGTACAATGTATGCCCAGGCATTCACACATCAAACTTTGGGTACCGCGGCAATACCCGGCGGACAACAGCAACAACTGTGTAGCTTTGTCAACAGCAGTGCTGGTCCCCTGAGTTTCAATTACACGCGCCGATAGAAAATAACATGGCCGTCGAACCACTTGCAGCAGAAAACATTATTGAGGTCTCAACACGAATCTCTGTACCGTGTCGTGAGGCTGTCACGATTGCTGATCCTCGCTTTCGGATTGGCACATTCCACACAAGGCCGCGTTGGGCAGGCGGTGACAGAGATGGCCACCAAACCTGCATGAATTCAGCCGAAAGATCATTTGGGGTCTGCCCAGACCCTTGCTCAACGTGCCAGTGCCCGTTAGAGTCGTGGCCCCCAAGCGAAGTGTCCTTACCGCATACCCATGTATGCGTATCTCTTTCGACATCCCGGTCAAATCGGGAAACGCTCGCCCGTTCGTTCAACAAGTTACCCATTTCGCTCTCCTTCTCGGCTTGCATATAATGTAGGGCTATCAGAGGAGTTATGTGCACGTGGGGCATGCCTTGCCATCCAAGACCAAAGCGGTATCTCTCAGTAGGCTGCGTGGTGTCTTAAAACAAGTAGGAATCCCGTATCTTTGCAACCTACTGCTGCTACCTCTGGTGTTTGTAGTCTACCAGGTACCCAAGACCCCCGCCGCGGTTAGATCTGTGTATGTTTATTTTCGCACCTGAAAGAGCGAAGCCAGGTCGTGGAAGCCATCGGGACGCTTGCCAAGGATGCGTAGAAATAGATTGATCTTGGCCGGGGAAAAAAAGTTGGCGTCCCATTCACCGACTGGTGTAGTGCTGTCCGGAGATGACACAGCGCACAATCCTCGGTGTCGCGTGTTCGCCCAACAACATGAAGCAGGATTCAAGGCCTTGTGAGGATCACTTACGTCCAGAGCACGCCGCTGCGAAGTTACCAAGCCATTTGCGACTTGTTGGGGAAATCCCACACCAACCAGAAAACCACCCACAGGTGCCACGGAAGCAAGAGCGAAGATGAGTGCTTCCAGCTTCATGGTGAGAGGCATGTACGGTCGGCCTCACCGAGTCGTGTGTGAACTGCGAACTGCGAAGAAAAATATGTGTCTTCAGTAATGCCGGCCCCGCCTAGCCGAAGCCTCTTTCGCGGAACACCAAAATACGCCGCCGCCGCAGTCGAGCTGCTGTGCGCACTAACCGACCGCAGGAGACGCTTTTATCGTCGCCTACTACCCAATCAGCATCCACCACACAACAGTGCTTATGGCGTGGCGGGCCAGCCTCTCTCGCAATGTTCGAGAGCTAAGGTTTTGCTGTTGCAATATCAGCCAAAGTGGTGCTCCGGTCCGGTACGTGTCAAACTCATGTGGGTGCTGGAAGTATTTACAACGTTTCGGCTAGAGCAGCACGCGCACGATCAACCTCTTCCCTTCCTTTACATGTCAGGCAGTTCCTCTTACCGCGTTCATCCCCACTGCTGACATCGTTTTACCAACACGCTTCGTCGTTTCTTGGCAGAGAATTCTTCCGAACCAACTACGCTGAGCTGAAGGCCTTGAACCCGGGTTTCCCTATTTTGCTTCGGGAAGGGACGGGCGCTGATCCTTATCTCCTGGCTACTTACGGTGCGTCGCAAGGCAGCCAGCCCTTTGTCATTGCGATGCGCATTGAGCGTAAAGATGAAGCTCGCTAAGGCGTTGCCTCGAGTTGCCTAGGGAAGTGATTGATCGCACGAGTCATTTCTACCAAGTCTTCCTGTGTATGCATGTACATACATAGCATGCATACCCTCTTGCCTCACACTCTCCGTTTCCGCCTCTTGCCTCTTCGCTCCCGCCAGACTACGGAGTGGAGCACCGTCTTTCATTGAGCGGGCTTTCACAAGAGAACATCGCCAAGGAGGTGCGTGGATTTGCTGATCTTGTCAAAGACGCAAGTGGGACGCAAGTGCGCCAGTGTTGCCGTTCTCGATGTTGGTTGCGATTGGTAAAATCCAAGATCGTGGGAACCGACTGATCTTGAGAGAACCCGCAACAACACCAGAAAATGCACACGAGACACCAGACGAGTCGGAAGGCATCGGGACAAACAGAAACCGTTGATTCCTGCACTGGGCGGCAGTAGAGGCTGCTCAAAACATACATATCATGAGTCTACCTCCACACGTCCCCTTCGAAATCAAGCTAACAATTCTCGCCAGTCTGCAAAATTTCACGAGTCTACATTCAAGTCAACAAACCGAAACGGCAGGCTCTCAAATTCGGTCGGTGTAGCATTCTAACGCACCTGAGTAATGATGTAGCTAAAGGGCATACATAGCAGCGGGGAGGATGTATTGGCGAGCTCATAACTGCTTCTGTGGTAATATCGAGGATCGTAGAAATGGCGTACCACAAATCTGCGCCGGAACCGAGCGGCACCCAACATTTGTCACAGCCGTGCTCGCCGCCACTGACCCCAATCTACTGAACTGCGGGTTGATAGCAGTAGCTGATGCCACTATTAGCTACTGCTGACGACCCGTCGTTCAGGGGATTACGGTCCTTGGCGATGAGCACGGCTGTGACAATGTTGGATGCCGCTTGGTTCCGGCGCAGATTTGCGGAGATTACTTCATGTTACAAAGCTATTCTTTCATCCTCTCGGCAACCGACTTCATCCCCCGTAGTTTTAGCTTGAACAGTAAGCGAACAACATTTGCTGTCGCTCCCTTCTTGCCACGGCTGGCGCCACTTCTGCATCCTCAGGTGGAGAAGGCTGTAGAGAAGGGGTCATCCCTGCCGCTGTCACCGATGCAGCCTTCTTTCAGATCGGCATCCGCTGGTGCGGTTAAGGCGTAGGACGTTGGCCGCCAGAGCTTGACTCTTTTAAGTGTCGATGGCTAAACACGCATCCACACACTGCCATGTGTGAGGGGGCCTAGCGACCTCTGACGCGATTTTTTTTTTGTTATTGGAATGCGGAATGGCAACTTGCTACCGATTTTGCGTAGTAGTATCACAGTTGTGTGACAACCGCAAATGGTTCGTGTCAGGCTTTTAGATCGGGTGTCCAACTAGGCCTGGTTGTGTGATTGCTTTGGCGCCAATGTGGGACAGCAGTAGTAAGAACAACAACAACGAATTTCCTCACCTCTTCCGTGTGTGCTTGTCTGTTTGGTGAACGTTGGTTAGCCACGTTAAAGCTCTTCACTCGCAAAGTTGACCGTTGTACATTGGGTTTTCATCAGTCAACATCGGGTCGTGAAGAGGCTTGTTACGCAGGTGGCGTGTGGTATCAATCTGTTGGTTTGACGAGACGCCTGCACAAACACTATACTCTTCCCCGTGACGTATCTTTGTTACACCAGCCGCTGTCATGTGGTATCAACAGGCCAGATGGGGTCTGAGGATCCTTGTGATGAGAGGCGCAAAAGCAGATCAGTTGATTCGAACCCACGTACCCTTGTGGCACGTGTGAAATTTGTCATCGAACATCTCGTTCTAGATTGAAAGTTGAGCTACTCCCTTCTCTCATGTCTTTCTGCTAACGAAAGTTGAGTTACTCCCTTCTCTCGTGTCTTTCTGCTAACGAACTGGTAGAGATTTGGTATTTGATCCCAGTTCTTCATCGTCGCACGCAGTTTTTGCTACTTCACGTCCTCACCTTTAGTCTGGAGTATCGTGAGGGTTCTGTTGCTACAACTTTCTCGCGTGTTCCTCAAGAGTTTCCTACATGAACCTGTGTTTCTAAATGGTGCGGACGCCGAGTTCTACTTGTCGGCCCCGTACTTCGGTCGCTGTCTTGAGCTCACGTACACGCACACATTTTTCAATTCGCGTTCACTTCATTCATAAAGCGCCTCGTCCGTAGCTAGCCTCCAATCCGGATGGCAACTCGCTACAGAGTGGTTGCAGCTACTCAAGTATTGTAACCCACATACAAGGCATTGCAAAAATGAATAGCGACAAGGATCCGCCACGTGTTCCTGCGCTTTCATGATACCCAGGTGGCTTGGGGCACCTTTGGGAAACTCTTGCCTTTGATTCTGTCCGCGTGGGGGTGCGTATGTCAGCGCGCTCGCTATTTCTCAGTCGCATCCTTGTTCGTGTCAACACAAAACTCAGCCTGGGTGCACCATTTGAAACTTTCTTCTTGTCGCCCTAACAACTGGTTCCATCCCGCCCGTCCTCCTGTCCTCTGCGATGGCAACTGCTGTATGTCTCTTGAATTTCGTTCACCCTTCCTCTCCCCGCACGACCCGCGCGCAAACAATGCCGTTGCTCGCTGACCGTGCCTCTACCGTCGTCGGCCCCGAAGCCATGTCTGCTGTGCTCTGCTGTGTTGCGCTGGCCCTGTCTCCCTTACAGGGCACGTTTACCCCACCACCTTCACGACACTGACTGTCCGCCAAGCTCCACAAGACGGTCATACTTTTGCGCTCTAGCAACGTTTCGCCTAGAGGGATTGCCCCACAGTCGCAACGAAACGATAATCCGACACGAGTTGTTTCCCCTGGCTTGAAAGGAGGAGATGCCAGAGACTCAGGCGGGACATAAGTTCACCCGTCTACAGGCAAAGATTGTTGCAGCGGCGGCAGGAATGTTTTCTAGGACATCTTTGCAAACTCCATCCTGTCCAAAAAGAATTGAAGAGGAGAACTGCCCTCGGCGATTGCTGATGGGCCATCCAGCTGAAGGGTACTCATCCCGCGACAAGTTTGCCAGGAACGAAAATAAGACGAGGAGGGGGGACAAGAATAAAAGCGGGGAGAGATGAACGGCGTCAATGTGAGGTCACAAGTTTGGGTTTTACATTTCACACCCAATATTCCCTTTCCTAGCAAGGTCTCCCTTCGGGATGTTGGTTACGGGCATCCCGACGGTGACGGAAGATGCCATGTTAAATTGTATGGGCTTGTTATGGTCTTGTTCCTGCACTCATCAACAACACCTCATGAAATGTTGAGCGAGTAAACATGCAAGACCTGGCCATTTTCTCGGTACGTTGCAAAACTTGGGACTGACTTATTTTTAACCCGACACACCAAGCGTAAGCAAGGGCGCAATCCGAAGAAGCAACACGAGGCTTGTGCGGGCACGTGATCAGCTTCATCGGCACTTGGAGTTGGCAGTGAGAGACGACCGTTCTTGCAAACCAGACAACGTTCATGGGTTTCAACATTGGTTCGCGCTACACGTTCGCCGGAAAATACAGTCAGTCGCCGCGACTGTAGGCGTCGAGCACACGTGTCGCGGGTGCCTAGTGAGAATCGGACGTGCCGGACCTCCTGCGTGCCCCTCGGAAGGGAGCGTCATAAAGGTTCATTGTCACCAGAGAAAGATACGCCGAAGCACCAAAATTATGTACCAGGTACGACTTACATAATGCAGCCACTCCAACCACATACGAGGGACACATACTACAGCGATCCTTTGGGCTCTTGACTCATGATGTGTTCGAGATGGCCTCGCCCGTTCAAAGACTTCTGGATGGCATCGATTCTCAGCCAACACCAGGGCATGCTGCTGCCATATGTTATCGGGGTAATGCCGTTCGCCCGCAGGAACATCGTGCAGGAGTCGCTTCGCCGCTGCCTGTGTCCATGCTTGGAAGCCTCGCCTGATTTCCTCCGGGTATCAATTGCGTCTGCAAGACCTTCGACGACCAGGGTGAACCGCGAACTCCTCATTACCGTATACCACGGTGAAAGGGCTTGGGGGAACGTGCGATTCGGTGCGTGTATGACAGGGGTTTGCAAGGGGTCAGCCGCGGTGCTCCTTTCTCGTTCGTGTGTGACAGCAACACGCGTGCGGTGGAAACCAGGGCAAGGTATTTTTCGATGGAAACCCGAAAGTTTCGCGTGTACACCAACCTCGACCACCTTCTGTCACACACCTACCTCCATTCGCCCGCATCTGCAGCTGCGCGCTCTCTGGAGGCGCCTGGATACCCCCTTCGACTTCACGAACACCTGCTTCGTCCAACACCACCTCGGAACCGTGGCAAGATATGACGCATCTGTCTGCGGTTTCATCCTCCAGCGCGTCCTCGGCGTCCTGATCGATTACCAACCAACCGGTCTGCATATGTGTGAATGGAGGTCAAGTTATCCTCTCTCGCACACGAGGGACCCCGATAGCGCACTTCGGGTTCCTCCACGACGTTGCCGTTCCGCGGCCCTCGCCTGTAGTGTACGCGTCCTCGGCTTCCCTACACACACGTCGATGGACCTCGCCCCCCCCAAGAGGGGCTGCAGTGACCCTGGTTTGGTAACGGCGAATTAGCCGCTCTTGGAGAAAAAACCACCACGACCCTCAAGTCGCTGCTGTGCGGCCGTTTGGCGCCTCGTGCGGGTGCGCTCTTCGGGCGCGATTGATTGGAGGAAGGCGTTTATGGTGCCAGCCTGCCAGCCAGCCAAGCGTACTCTCGACACAATTGTTGTTCTCTAGCCAAGCAGGGGAAGGTTCTATTTCGGACAACCGCTCTGAAAACATCGTTGGATGTCAACCGCTTTGCACCCTCCATTGGTATCTTGTAATAACCTGGACAAACAAGTAAGTAAGGTGAACGCGCGAGACGTGGCGTATGCAAGGTCCACCTCTATGCAAACCTCACGTGATACATGCCGCAAAATTTCGCCGCCGATAAACGCACCCATCAGTACTGTTAGCAGCGTGATCCTGGGCCATGGGCTGAGGCAGGACAGGTAAATGGCCCCTACTGCCGCTGTGTGTCTGGCAAAGATTTTGTGGGAATAGAATAGATATCATACAAGACTTGTGTTTTCAATACACACCTTTGACCCCACTCAGCGTACATATGCCTACGCCAAAACCAGGAAATAAATAAAACCACCAAATACATATATAGACCGACAGAGCACCAACCGAACACACACGAGATAAAATGACCAGTTGGAAATTGTTTTTGTGTGGGTACGTCCCGTCTCATGTATGTGTGGTGCCTGCACCTCTGCTGTACCTTATACCGCCACGCTGGTCAGGGCCTACAGAGCAACACTGATTTCCGCACGTGGAGAAACAATGATGAGGATGCGTTCTTCGGCATTCTGCAGCCCCAGCACGGCCCCAGAGCTCTTTTAGCGAACATATCGCACGCCTTCGTTTTGGGATTTCCTACACTACATACAACTACATACAGCATACAGAATGTAGGATCACAGAGTGCGTCGTGCTTGAGGGCCGCTGCGAATCGGTAAACGGCAGATTCTAGCAAGATCGCAAACTCTTTTTGGGTCGTCACTCCTGGACTGTCTCATATAACTGCGCATTAACTGCAGCAGGCGAGTACAGCAGTACTAGGGCTCACCGGCTGTGTGTTGGAGCAACTTGTCGTCTTCTCCTATATAACCATAAGAAGATAGGTGGTGGCTCCCAGATCGGCCTGTTTTTGGAAATGGAACGGCGAACTTCTCCTGGAACAAGATCACGGCACACCGGAACATCGGGTGGTGCGCCAAGAGCTTGAACAGCAAAGGGGGCGATATCTGACAAAACACATCCGACACGATATCACAGAAACAATGTGAATCAGCAGCGATCATGGGGCTTCAAGTAGACCATATAGCCCTTCGTACCCACTGAACAAGTGCACAATTTGAAAAACATTCGAATGGGTAGTCTTTCTGTGTGTGTTTTTATTATTCCTTAATTCTGTGCGGGCACACATTGAGTTTTTTGGCCCGCAGGCGCGTACCCTCCCTCAGCTCTCCGTCGTAGACCCCCCCTCTCTCTCCTCCCTCCTTCTCGCTGCGCACGGCCCAATTGCACAACCTCGGCTGGCTGCTTGGCTGCCTGTTCACACCAGCCTGCCGGCAAGCACGACAGAGCGTGAGAGGTTGTATCTGCCATGTCCGATTCAGAACGAAGGAAGAAGGGATGCTGGCTGACTGTGAGTGGCATTGAAACAGGAGGATCCGGTGTTACCGAGGGTGGATTCTTGAACGGAACGTTTATTCATTCGGTGTTTTCGCAACTTTTGCATACATTCAAGAACGACCGCACAACCAACCAAGTTGTGCTCGTGTCCTACCCCATCCACCGTGTAGGACCATGCGGCGATTCCCGTGCCTCCTACCAAGCAAGACTTCATACTGGCGGGAAATCTGCTAAAACGACGAGGAGGGTTCGGAAAGATGTCCCAGCAGAAGTGGAAGAATCGGTGCTTCGTCCTCTTGAAAACCGGCAACTTGTGCTACTTTCAGGTAAGCACGATGGCGGTAGATTTGCGCGGGTGCTGTACGTAATGCCCCTTCAGAGGTAGTTTAGGAGAACTAGGCATGCCAGTTGACACTTGAATATCTTGACTGCATATATTCTACTAGCTGGGCTATGTAGTCAATGCGTCGTACATCTTCCGATACACAAAGTCTACGGTCTGCTACTGCTGTAGTGCTGTACACCAGCTGCTATTTTTCATCTTCGCCCACATGTTCTTTGGTGACATGCATGTGATGTGCAAATGTACCATCGTGGAACCCGGGGCACACAGGCGGGTTCGTTCGACAGTGTCGATTTCTGCGAACCTCCACGCGGCATTCTCACGCTCGACGAGGATGTAGTAATATCGAAGAACACGCCACCTGACGGAGATTTCACGGGAACCTCATCGCTAGTCATCCAAGGAGGAGGGCAGAGATGGAAGCTTAGCTCGGAAGCACCGGGCGAGATCAACCGCTGGGAAGAGGTGGGCACACAGCGTGTACGTACAAGGTAGATAGATCGATGCGTAGATACAAATTTCTGCCGTTTTCTCCTCACGCGGTCGGTGTGGTGATGCACCTCTGTCCTCAGTCAATCGCTGGCATGAAACAGGTGATAATATGGTACTTCAGTATCTCGTTTCGGAGGGACTCACAACGACCCACACTGAGCGACTTCATTGGGTCAACCATGGCAGTGCGCGTGTTGGAACCATTGTCCGCATTGAATACAGTATAAACCCTTCTTTCATATACTCATGCTGTGTTATGGGGTCGTTTTTCTCCTATCCAAGGTAAAGAAGCGCATTGCATTTTCACACGTCAACCCAACCCAATTGCGGGCCAATTCAACGAAAAAGATAAAAAGATGAAAGAACATACAACTATCGCACGCATATGTACGATTCTTAATATAGCAAAAAGTAGAAAGACCAGCAGCAAGTGTACATCTTTGCCGTAATTGTCTGCTTGTAATCCTAATATTGCATATTGTACCATGGTCTAAAGCTAAGCTACACCCGCGTATGGATCTAATCTATACTCAGAAAGCCCTCTTTGCGAGTGTTTCGTGATTCAATGTAGCATACATGCTGTCTCAACTCTCAACCCATGATTGCACCTTTTGCCGTTGCAGTCGCCTTGGAAGGTGATGTTGACTTAATACTCACCCGCTGTTGGTACACTCATACTGCGCCAATGCAGGCTCTGCGATCTTTTGTTAAAGGGTCGCCATCGTCAGGGGGACCTACCAGAATTTCAGACACCTCCATGCGGTCTCCGACATTCCGGCTTGGCACCAGCAAGAGTTTGTCGTCCCCGCCAAACGGCGTGAAGCAGAGAACACGCACACCGTCTCCACCATCCCAGAACGGTGGGCGTGTAGCTCACGAACAGCGTACACGTGGCCATTTCCAGTTATTTCTCTAGCTGTTACCATAATCCATGTCCCAAGTCACAGCATTGTCCAATCACACTTTGTCTATCTGCACAAATCAGCGACGATATCCTTCTGAGATGGTGTATTTATCGGCCATGGCCCTCGGACGCGTGAGCTTACGACTGCGGGCGCAGCAGCATGCTACGCGACGTGTCACACCTGCATATATTGCTGATATTGATATTCCAGGGTGCGAGAGAGGTAGCTTGTTGGTTCGGACATGCAGGTATATTTTGCCAAGAATTTCATCGGCTGAGCAGTGGCGTTGCTGACATGCAGGTACACGATCACCGTCGGCAAGAGCCACAGCAGTAGTGACAGAAGAGAGCGCACAAGGGGGGACTGATACCCGAGGCGCTTGGACGCTCGCTTGTGTGTTGACGGCGGTGGACGTGGTGTGCTACTTGCTTCATCAGCGCGAGGTAAGGGGGCACTTTTCTATACCGCAAGGACCACGGATCATGACTTGCGGGCTTTAAGATGAACAGCCTGGAACGGTGACTATTTCGTTTGCTCTTGCCTGGTCCATGCCGAGCACAAATGTCTTGTGTTCGCCCCTATTGTGGGGATAGATATCCTGTGCACAACGAGTTCCGGTTTCATAACATGTTGTGTATTGTCGTCGCATGTTGTTCGACTCACCCGACGTGCTCGAGTCCCGCAAGTGTGATCACTTCCCGCCATAAACCTTCGGTCTTACCACTGTACAAGAAGTACCGTTTTGCGCAAAGTGTCGACACGTAACCTACCCACACCCGCGGCGTCTATTGAGATATTGCAGTTCAGCTTGAAGGTGTTCTATGCGGCGGTGTTTACGCTGAACCTGATCATTGGTTGGGGCATCCGGAGATCCGCCGACAGGCCAGCTTCTGGAGAACGCAGCGGCACTGGGGTGCCTGTGATTCACGGCGATGACGTTGGGGCTCTCAGAGTTGCTTTAAAAAGGCGCTTCCCGCCCAAGAAGGACACGCCTCTTCTCCCGTTGGGAGACGGAAGGGAGATTCCATGCGGGGTACCGGTGGCAGGGTGAGCAGAACGTAACTAGACTGATTCGATGACTGAGGGAAGCTGATTCTTGCTTAGTCGCTGCATGCCATCTTGCTGTCTACTGTACATGCGGCGAACCGAGTCGCCAGTGGTTGAGACGATACACCGGTGAACAACCCATGCTAGAAGTTATATTGGCTGGGTGAACCAACACCCCAATTTAGTGTGGGCATGCGTAATGTTTCTTAAACCCCGGCTGGTGACGAATTTTGCTGCCCATCAGCTGACAGCTGTGGTCACGGTGGTCGCCAACCGTATGGATCGTGTTATACCTTGTGTCGTTGATCGTGTACGGCTGGGTGCCAGCATATATTCTTAAATCTTCCGGTCTATGATGAATAGCATCGAGCGCGCGATGGATGTACAGCATTCATGAGCGTGTTGGTTTGTTGTTGTCGTCGGCTTGTTTGTATGGCAGCTCCACTACACAGCAATATGATGGCCCAGCCGGGAGTTTGACAGCGCCGCACCACTCATGGAGCAATGGGATCGATTCCGTCTTCCATGTCCGGGGAAAAGGGTACATGCAGGACAAGTTGAAGGTGTCCCCAGGTAAGCCTTTGGTTGAACTCACGTGAAGCCACAGCGTACGCAACACCGGTATCGCTAGAGTTGCAGCACACACAGCAGTGCACACTGCAACCGTTTCAGATATTGCGGGCAATTGGTGCGGCATCGATGTGGACCGACGTGTTGCGTCTTTTGTTGCCGTTCACGTCAATAGGAAGCCAGCTAGTGCTCTGTCTCATCACATTTCGCTCGTACGTTTTCCTCCCTTTTTTGCACACAGCCGAGTCGCTGTACGACATGGTGGGGTTGGACATATTTTCTACTGAAGCAAGGGTCGGCAACATGGCGTCGGAAGTAGTCCTGGACACCGCCACAAAAGATCTGCCGGCAGTGTCTGTCCCGGGAGTTCCTCCATTGCTAGTTATCAACGTGCAGCTCCCTTCTGCCTCGCCTGCCCTCATGACCTCTGCGGAGGATGGGCCCGGAGTCCAGGTTAGTCTTGTTGCGCAATTGTTGTGATCGGCGTTCAGATTCTTCAAGGGTGTCGGGTATTTGGCGCTGAACCGAAAGGCATGGCAACATTCGTTGATTGATCCCTACATCGCCAGTGATTTTCTTTGACATTCAGCTAGATAACCAAGGCAGGATGCTGACAGCAGCTGTTGCGGAAGAAAAACGGGTATTGTTGTGTCCTCGCCGAAATGCGCACCACGCGAAACGAGTAGCACGGCGGAATGCCACTCACGAGACTGGTACAGCAGTTATTACGTTCAAATCGGAGTCCAGGTGCAAGATACGCTTCCTAACTTGAAACCCTTAAGCGTACACAGCGCCTTGCCCTCAATCCGGAATATTATTTGTGGCAGATGCGCAAGGATCAAAGCCCCCCTCGTAGCACTCTCATGGCTGTTCGACTGGCTTGACAGTTCCATTATGACATAATTCAGGGAGCAAGAGAAGCAATTACGAACGCAGCGTTCCTCTCCAACACGCCATCGTAAGTGGGTTTCTCACCCAACGGGTACTGCTGTAACCTCGGTTTTTGTCCCCTCAAAATCCCCAAGGCGTATCATACCGTGCTTTTGGATGGTCCTGACATAGTGCCCAATCCCCCCGAACAGTGTGTGATGTACTTCCGAATGAAGGAATCCACGGCTCGGGCAATGGAGAACTTGGCAACTGCGTCGGAGGGCGTGCGACTGTGGGTTACGTACTGTCAGCGTGTTGGAGTTGACGATGACTTTCAAGGTAGATTCAAGGTGAGACATTCCGGCTCTCGGTGTGAAAGGGTTTGCTGTGCCATATATTTGCGCTCTGTATTTGACAACGGCGCAATTTGTGTGCGGTTGTCTTTGCACATGATTAATGCCTTTCTTTTTTTAGTGCGAGAGCCGTGAAGTCCCCTCCCTCCCTCTTCTGAAGTAGAATCTGACCAAACGTGACACCTGTCTATTTGTGTGATATATGGCGTACAGGTTTTAACACCCCCCCCGGTTTTGAACGAGTACGCTTCTCGATCTACTGCTGCCTACCGAGCGGACTTGATTCTCATGTTTTTATGGTCTTCATGGTTGACCCGCATATTCCCACAAGGCGTTCGGTGGATGCAGGGAGTTGTTGGCAACTGTTTTTGTTTTCGATTATGCACCTCCTCTGCCCGTTCCTTCGGTGATGCTGATTCATGTGTCCGTGTTCGTTGCTACAGTGCATCGCCGTGATCGCGAACAGCGAAAGTCTGGGTCTCCCGAGTTTCATCACCAAGTACAACGGGAAGCCTGTACTCATCAACAGGAGCGGCCACTGTAAGTACGCGTGGTTTGCGCTTTGTACGTCAACTTTGTCTTGCCTTCGAAGAATGTAGCTCCGGTTGCTGTGGCGAATGCGCGAAGGAAAATGAGGTCGTGCCGTTGCTCCATAGGTATCAGACTACCCGCTACGGAGCGTCCTTGTAAAGCAAAATAAATACAGGTACGACGGAACGATTCAAGTGACTATATATTTATATATGTACGATTCGGTCACTTTTCATGCGTCGTTGTTTCTTTCTCTCGCTGCAGCGCGTCTTTTCTCGCGGTTCCTTCTCAGGGGCACGCAGGAGGCTTATCGGTACATTAACGCTCGTGCCCGAAGCTCGGTAGGCCTCCGTGGCGCGTGTGGTTGACGGTCAAAGTTGCGAAAACTGGCTCTATTCCTTGGGGGCGCGTTCTGCGCAGACAAAGCCTGGCGAACAAGTTTTGAAAAATTTTCTCTTTGCTTGTCATCTCCACATTCGTTCATTCATTCGCTGATTCCACATCGCTGTGACTGTTTGTGTCATCGCAATGCCAACTAGTACCTACGTTTGCTCTGTCTGTACACTTCGCAGCGGGCCAGGTGAAACCCTGCTGCTGTAGACAAGTCTTAGCGCATGCACCCGCAGTGTTGTGCATGTTTTGTTTGTGGTGTTTCGGATTCAAAATCTGTTCTCAGTGGAGATGTGCCATCAGCACGAGACATAATTGAATGAACAAGTCTGATTTTTCGCTGGCAAGTTGTTGTCCGCTCGAGCTGGCTCCAATGTAGAAACTGCCCATAAAAAATAAGACACACAGCCCCTCTTCGGGCAATCAATGCGCACGTGGTCTTGCGTCACCCGCGGGAGGCTTGATACCCACGCCCCAAAGGGAGACTTGGCATTTTATATTTTTTGTCATTGCTGATGGGTGTATCGTTCCATTCGCAGGGGTGAAAGGCGAGAACTACATTGAAAACACCATCAACGTCCACCGGTTCAGCTTCATCGCCAAGAAGAGTTTGCACTCTCTGAAGGTGAGACGACAAGCCGACGATTGTCTGGACTTTCGTCGTTAAAACCGCAGCGTGGCGTGTAGCAAGACGACACCGAAAAGTGTATCGCCGTACCCATGCAGCTGAAGAATTGAGGGTTGGCCCGCATCATGATTGGGTTTCGAACTTGGCGCTTGCTTGCGTGCGGTGTATGGATCGGTGTATGAATCTCAGGGGCTGTTCAAGGACATGGTTCTCCATCTAGGCTTCACGGTGGAGGGTCGAGCTGCCGACGAGCTGCCAGAATCGCTCCTGGCATGTTCTACGTTGCACTACCCGATGATGGAGAGAGCAGTCGAGTTTGATGTTTAAAGACAGTCGATAGATTCACTATATCAGCAGTAGATCCGTATCCCGAGGCAAGCTATACTCGGGAAAGTCCACACCGAAAAATAATTTCCCAGTGATAAACCGGCTAGTCCCCAGTCGCCAATCTGGTCAGGATGATCACAGGATTATCACGTAGCTTTTGTTGTTGAAATGCTGAACAAAATCTTGGCAGATTTCCTCGTTTTCTGGTCAGATCGGCCTCTGTGGAGCCGCGATCATTGCAAGACAGCCGGAGCAACGAAATCGCACCGGGAGGTGTCGGGTTTTTGTTAGCTATGTACTTCAGTATATTGCGGGTGTAATATTTAACTTATCTTATCTTATTTACGTATCGGTGCCCGACTTTCATCTTTTCCTTGTATCCGACATCTCTCTCTCTCCCGGCTGCCGGCACCGGTACTCTCTGCGGGTCGCTTGCCGATGCTACCAAACTTTGTTAACACGACTCCAAACGAGGCCATCGGCGCGTATTCTGGCAAAGTCTTTTGGACATCAATTCGACTTATCACCACGACAGCACCCCCGTCCGCATCTAGCCGAAAACTCGGGCGAGAGGCCGCGTCGCTCATTCGCACAATCACAGTACCCGCCTGGTCTTGGTCACCGCAGAAACAACTATCGAAGTATATCCCAGGGACGCACGCACGCACGCACACGTATTATCTGTAGCCATCGAGGGTGCCTCTTATCAATTATCTCTTTTGATCCCGCCATCTCCTTGCAATGTCACAGCAAAAAAACAAGGCACACTATTCGAAAGTATCAATTTGGCGGTCAACGTCAGCCTCATTCCCACACTCCACTACTCCGCCGATGTTACAAGAACGACTGCTTCCGTTGCTTCCCGTCCGTGCAGCTTTCACCAAACTTGTTTTCTCTCAAACGGAAACCACACCTCACAGCATAAAAACGACAAGTTGCGTAAGCAACGCCGGGGAAAGCCTAAATTACGTCGACATCTTCCAAGCGCTCCGCGAGCTTCTCCTCCCCCGCTCTCTTTTGGGCGGATGCGCAGTGCTCGGGTTGCCGCCCCGGGATAGGCTTTGGGAAAGACATGACCTCCGGGTCTTCGTCAAAGGCGTCCCTGCACAGGTACGGAGGGGGCAAAGAGGTGGAGCAAAAACGTTAGGGTGGCTGAGGCGTAACCTTTAGTTTTGCCTCTCGCGAGCCCTCCAACTCCTTAAGACGTCGCTACCTGGAATGTCGTCCCCCGTCAACACTGTTTCCCCTCTACAGTATTTTAATTATTCGGCAAAAAGAGGCGATAATCAAGACCTTGACATGGCACTGGCAAGTACGCACTTGCTGGCGATGGCTTTGACGTCGGCAGCGCCGGAAATCATGCTGCCGAGGTCCTTGGCGAGGATCTCGCGAACCTCGTTGAAAGTAAACGCGTCCCCGGCACGTCGAGTGAGCTCCACCACGTGGCAACCGAGATTGGGGCTCGAGTAGACTTGCGCAACCATCTCCAAGCCGTCGCCCGGGAAAACAGCCTTGACCTGCAGGAGGAAAATTACCGACAGACCATGAGATTTGAGACACATCGCTCTTGTCGCGGCACAGCACAGTGGGTAGCGCATACCAAAACTTTGTGAAATGAGACATTCAGCGTTGGCAAACTCAACGTAACCATCTACACACATGTTTTGATCTATTACAAGCCACGGTTACCAAAGCATCGGGGGGCGGCGACCACCAACCTACACACGTCCGAACCATACCTTGGCTAATTGTGGCTTGAGCGTGACGTGTGGCGTGCCCGCCATGCCTGCCAGCGCAGATCTGAGTTTGTCCAGCAACATGTCCAACGCCGCCGCCGAGTAGAACACATGCATCCCGTGCAAGTCGGTGGGCACGTTTGGAGCTTGAAGGCGACTCTGGTCTACCTCCCCTGGTTTGCTAACGCTGCGCTGAACGTTCAGTGGGAAAGGGTCGACGTGCCCGCGTCCTTGGCGAGCTGCTTCCTCTTCCCTACGCTGTACGTGGGCTTGTCGCTCCGCGGCCTTCCGGTCATCTACACGCCTGGTCGAGAACGTTAACGACGTGTTGGTTGGTACCAATGTTAGCTGGAGAGGGGTTTTACAGAAGAAAATTCATGCATCTCCTACACTAAAAAAATACATGTTTCTTCTGAACCCATTCGTTTGCCACGGTGCTTACCGTTTCCGCTGGAGGAGTTCGTCGTAGAGAGTATGCGCGGGCAGGGTCCCGCCTGCCAACCACTCGTGTGACTTCAACTCTTCGAGAGTGGCACGCTGGAGAGGGTCTGCCACGAAAATGCGGTTCAAGAACGCCTGCCAAGAACAAAGCAGGGCAATGGCGTCAGAGCATGCTATGTCCGTCGGCAGTCGGGAGGATTTCCTTGGAGTTGCTAAGCACCTTCGTCACGGCAAAGCCCCTGTGTCGACTACGCGCGCCCAGTTCGTCATGTACCGGGTGGATGGATAGGCTCACCTGCGCAAGTGGTGGGAAGTCAGGACAGCCTCGAAGGTGGGCAGCCCAGAAGCGATCGTGGCGCCCGCTTGATACAGCCCTGAACCACCAGTCCGTCGATACTGCCATCTGGAAGGGCGGGTTACCCGCGAGCATGATGAACAGAACAACGCCTGCCGACCAAAGGTCCGCCTGGGCACCGTCGTATGGCTGCTTCGCCAGCACCTCGGGAGCCATGTAGCTGCGAGTGCCACATTCAGTGTAGCACACGCCGTTTTCGTCCTGCCCAAGTGATGTAAGGCAGGTTGGTGCGGGTTACTCCTGGGCATACTCGAATAGTTCTCGGGCCAGGAGCTCCAACAAACCGCGTAACGCACCGACTGCTTTCCCGCAGCACGTTGACGGAATAGCAACGTTTAAAACGTATCGGTCTCAACATCATGACTTCCTCCAAAAGCATTAACAAGGTAAGCAGTACCGAACTTTTGAGACATGGAGGAACCTCACCTCCATGATAGACGACAGCCCAAAGTCAGCCATCCTCAGCTGAAAATTGTTGTCGAGCAGGATGTTTTCAGGCTTGATATCGCGGTGCGCAATACCGGTGCTGTGGCACATCTCCAAGGCTGACAGCATCTGAGAAAAAAAGAATAAAATTGATTCATGCTTAAAATAAATGAGCATGCGTGTGATCGGCCGAATATCTCTGTCACATCCTCCCATGAAAACACTGATCTTGCGCTGTGTTGAGCGTTTGCCGAACTCGGGGAGGGGCGTCGCTCAAAACGGGCCGGAAGGACCAATAGATTGCTGCAGGATTAGTCCGGCACAATCCATGGAAACAGCCTCGAGTGGTGACTACAGCAGTATGCCCGTTATGAGGCCGCGTAGTACCACGAGGTTAGACCGGCCTTTCATACCGGGCACCCGGCCTTACTGAGGATTTCTATTTCCTCAACACATGTCATGCTTCCCATCCAACCTTTTTTCGTCTCTCAGGTACATGTTCAACCGGTACAGTAAGAAATTATGATAATTCCGACAGACAAACAAACATGAATACTACTGTGTAACGACTGAAACGGTAGTATGTAACGGCACGGACTGCCCAATCCTGACTAACCCTTTTGGAAAAAACGGACCACCACCGACACAGCAAGCGCTACAATGACTCCTACCATGCGCTCATCACCTCTAAAGAAACTCCCTCAAGTCCGCCTGTCGCGTGGGCATTGCGGCATGCGCTGCGATCATCGTCTTCTTAGCCCTCTGCAGAAAGATAACGGCCTCAGCATGGCAGCTGTCAAAACCAGCGTGAATTCTACGGGACCGGTCTTATTGGGGGCAGGCGGCCATATTTGTGCGGCCTTCTATCGGGCCTTCTGTTGTATGTCTCACCTGACAAAAGTACGTCCTCGCGATCACCTCTGGAAATGCCCCTGTGTACATCATGAAGTCGAACAGCTCGCCTCCTACGGCAAGTTCCAACACAAGTATCACTACCTCCTTCTCCAGCCCGTTTTTCTTCACGTACGTCAAACTCTGTTGAATGCGGGCGTGTAACGGCACACAAGCGAACGGAGAAGGTGAGAAACGTGCAAATCATCCGGTGAGCATCACTTTTTTCTCTATGCGGGACTACATTAATCGCCGTTCCTTAACATGGAGATAATCCATACCGTATACGATATTCCGCCCTCCATTGATTCTCGCACTCGTGTCGGCAACGGTACTCATTCTTTTGGTTGTATATTTCTGTAAACACTTGACACTTGACACCATAATCAGAAGACAAACCTCGTGGACGTCCTTAAGCCGTAGTACGTTCGGGTGGTCCAGCGCCTTCATTGATGTGATTTCTCGCCGCAGTTGCTGCGCCGCCCGCGCGCTCATGTTGTCCTTGTACATGATCTTCACGGCCACCGTCTCTCCTGTGCGCAAGTCGACTCCAAGCTTTACCCTAGCGGAACGGGTGTACCGAGGTATCGGGCTGTTAATATAGTACCTACTGGCAGTGACATCTTCCATGGTTATACAAAATACTCCACCATGTCTTACAAGATACAAATATGACCCAAAACGCCTTAAACCGTCAAGATTCGAATACGTCTGGGTAGCACGGGGCATTCGAGGGTAACGTCTGTCGGCAGAGCCCGCAGTAGATCAAGCTTTTGGCAGCGGTCAGCACACAAAAAGCATCAAGAACCAACCAGCACGCGCTTGAAATTGTCCCGAAGTGTGACGCAAGAAAATTCCACTTGAAAGAAAAATCCTCGGAAACGCAATGGTGATGAATGAATGCAGATCAGATGCTATCGCTGTGTTGTGGAAGAACAGCAGTCGGATGGCCTCTAATTACATTCAATAAACTCCCCCGAAAACGGTGCTGTACAGCTTGAGACACACTTGGGCGTGTGCCTCAATGCGATGACTTACTTTCCGCTCATTCCTTTGCCCAGCGTGCGGTGGAGTTGGTAGTTGCCGAGTCTCCTTCCTGCCGCTTCATTCCCAGCCGTGTTGGCCATCTTCAAACTGCTTGTCGAACCTCTTGAACAACAAGTACCAATACCGCTCGCTGAACAGGACTCGTGTTATCCCTTGCTGTTGGAGCCAGGCGACAGCAGTAAACGCCATAAATTTGGCATATTCAAGAAGGGCGATCAGGTTTGGTGTACTACTTCCCGACTGGATCAAGGTGTAGAACAAGGGTGACAACAGCTGCCGCCAATGTTACACAGCTGTTGTTACACAGCAGCCGGAATGAATTCACCAAAAAGAGGGCGGAATTCTAGGTTTGCTAACTCGACCATGGCCTCCGAGCTGAAACGAACAAGGCATACACTAAGTGGTGATGAGTTATAGCTCCAGCGACCTCTCAATGGGCCATTATTAGCGTTGCTGAGACACTCCACATCTGAATAAGCCAACAACAAGCGCGGAGCTTCGTGTGCGAAATAGAGGTGTTTGAGGGAACAACAACCGCCGGCGCTCACCAACTCTTCGTAGATGCCCAAAATCCGATCAGAGCGACGTGTAGCAGCGAGAGGGAAGTTGACCAGATGGTGGTACCGACCCGAGAGAGATGTAGAGCCAGGGACAGGAGAGGAGAGAAGGAGAGGTGTGTGAGCCCTGAGGTGGACGGCTTCTGCCCGATCACAAGCAAATTACGCACACAGAATGTTCCGTGATTTTAATTTTCTATTAGCCCGTGGAAGGATCTTTCTTCGGTCGGAGGCGTATTTACCACTGCTGTGGCCGGGAATATAGTTCGGGATTGGTTGAAAAGCAAAGAGCTCGGGTTTGACTTCGAACTTTGGGACGCGGGTTCGAGCCTCGGCATCGGCACTTTTTTTTAATGACAACAAAAAAACGAAAACGATATTTTTTTTTCTCGCTTTTTCCTGCTGGCCCAAAGTGGCAACTTGTTGATGGTCACAAGTAATTTCACCGGTTGAGTGGGGAAAACATGTTGAATACGATCAAAAAGGGGTTGGAGAACAAGGCCAGAGGGTGGGAAACACATAAAAAAAAGAATGAGGGAAAAAAACCAAGTCTTCGCCCCGCACGGGCACTTCGAAAATGGTCACTCTTCCTTACCGAAAAAATCGTGGGGACCCCCCCCAGGAGGTAGGTCTAAACGCGACCCATCCGCTCTTTTAGGGAGGTATTTCACATGTATCCATCTTATTCAGGCTGTAGGAGTATTGCCGCGAAGTGTTTCGGGCTGAAACTCTTTCTAAACACACGAAATAGAAATGCGAACCATATTCCCGTATCTTCAAATCCCAGCTATATTCCCGGCCAGAGTGAGTGGTAGTCTTTTTGTGTCCGTCCCCGGTTATGGCACGTGGATGATGGGTGCGTTGTATGGTCTGTGGTGCGGTCTATACAGCAGCGACCACAGGTACGTGTAACAGTCCTGTCCTCTCGTCTGTGGAGGAGGAGAATTTGTTGTGTCATGAATAAAGAAACGAAACCAAAGAAAAAGTCCGGTCTATCGAGATACTTCAAACAAACAAAGTACTGGTACGTGTGCACGCCGACCCCGCACGCGCACATGATCTATTATTGCGGCACCCATGGTATCAACTGCGTGCAAGTCACTCTTCGCGGTGCTGCACTTACTCTACCAACAGCACCCATCAAACAATCAATTGATTAACTGCTTCGTCAGAACGTCTGGGCTCTATTGTGTACGAACAACGTTCGAGGAAAAAAAAATGTTGGTGTGTTGACTTGCAGACTACTTCGTACTTCATCGTATTCTGGCTATAATTCAGACAAGATCATCTACCAGGTATTTATTATTTCAGAAGTCCTGTGTAGTGTGCAGTAGTCTAGACACATCTACCGTATCTTCACCAAGTCTTGGGTGCATCCTTCCTACTATATCTGTTGGTTTTTAAGAGTAGAAGACCATCAGTCGGGCCCACTTACAGGAGGTTTTTAGTTATTTTGTACCAGGTATGCATCACGTTTCCTCTTCATGCGGTGCCTCCTTCCTCAGCTATGTAGTTCTTATCACGAGAAGGTTTAGGCCGCCCGTTTTCTCGTCGACCGTGAAGTCGGGGTGCATTTTCCCCACCGGAAACAACAACGTCTTTCAATCACTTGATTGAGAGACGTCCAAACTCCAACCTGCTACTTGTACTACTACTACTCTAGCAGGTTTACGACAGGGAGGTTGACCATGAGAGACAGGGACCAACGACCGGGAGATGGGACCTTTGAAAAGGTCGCAGACAGATGCGTGCATATTATGAGCGGGTTGCCACTGCTGTAGCGTGCGTCGATGGTGATTGAATTTCAATGTCCAGGGAAGGAACAATCGGCCCGCCCGACAGGTGTGGCACGCGCGCCCTAAAAAGGGGCAAGGGCGCAGCACTCATGCATCCCGTGCATCCAGACTCCCTCTGTCTCCCCCAGCTGCCCTGTGTTGCGTTGAAAAAAGGAGGCCGCTGCTGGCCAAGCCGAGTGACACTAAGCAAGAAAAACTCGCGCCGGCAAGGTGAAAGGGGGGCTGGAGGGACTCATGCTCGAGCGGGAGAACCGCGTTCGTTCTCCATGACTTTTGAGTAAAAAAAAAATGCGTGATCAACCTCTAGCTCGGTAGGACATCTTGTATATAGCCTAGACAAGCTGAATAAGGATATCACCACTAAATACTAACGTGTCGTTGCCATCTATCGAAACTAATTGCTGCTCAATTCGGCGAACGACGCTGGATCTTCCTACCTATCCTCCGTGAGACTATACCCAATCCAGTTCGGAGGGGGACAAGTCAAAAACCCCCACGAAAAATTCAATGCACGAGCGCAACACGTGCATTGCAAGCAAGCCTCAGCAAAAACAAGCACGACAACTAAAGAGCAGTCGGCTCAGGGAAAATTGTTTCGGCCAAGTCGATACACAGCATCCATCCACAGGATGATCCTGGCTAGTTCGATCCTCTAAAGGTCGCATGCAGGCTAACAGAAAAAAGCCATCTAGACTAGGGAGTTTGCCGAGCGGCTAAACAAAAAAACTAACTTCTGATTCCGACGTCCGTTGTCACCACAAGAAAACAAGAAAAACGGCGATGCGCTGACTTTATTCAAACGCCGACTTGTCGTTCTTGTAGTATACGGTTTCCCCTTCGTCTTCTACAAACAAGCACTCCTGCGGGACAAAGGCGGCGTCAACAAACGCAGTGGGGGCGACGTTGACGAAAGGGCTTAGGAAACTTCACCGCTTCCTGCTGATGGAGTTGTACGGCTCTGCCATTGACAAACTAATTGGCATATCCCAAACGCGCACGGTATATGTTAACGATGAAATCAACGAGGGCAGGGCATCGGTGCTCTTTGTCCTGCAGCACAAGCTGTCCAACATGCCTCCGTCGAGCGCCTCACGGGGTGCTCGGTTACATGGGTTAGTACACGCAACATATGTAACGGGTCTTACGGGTACTAGGTAAGACATATTCGACACTATACTCGTGACGTGTCACCGAACCCCGAAACGACCAGCACACATGTGCGCGCAACAAACGCTGGGGGGACAAATTGATGGGAGGGCTGGGTCTCAAGCAGGCCTCATCGCTCTGTGGCGCCACACCGCGTGTGGCAGCATCCGTACTTTGTTGACCGGCCACCGCGCACGTAGGCGCATTTGTAGGTGATTCACCAGAACTACACCTGGATTATTGCCGAAGCCTCAAACCGGGGGCATGTGCTCACCTCTGTCCCCTTGAAGAACCGCTTGATGAGATGGAATGGGATGGGTCCAGACTTTTCCGGCTCCACGAAATAGTCCCCGAGCACCGGCTTCACGGCCTCCGTCGCTTCCACGATGTGGTAATGGGGCATCTGGTAGGTCAACACAAGCGGCAAGAGTTGAACGCGCCTACCATCAAATAACGAAGGTAAAATTACCGGTCACCCCGTACCTTCTGACTCTGTGGAATGCGGGTTCGAATCTCTCTGGAGTGCAACACTTGTGATACGCATGGAAAGCGCCTAGTCATGATCAATTGCAAACTGGGGGAATCAACTGAAGGAACCAACTGCTGAATTCCGTTCTCGCGTAAATTGTTGAAGGCAAGCATCGCAGAAAGAACGATTGAAAAGAAAAAATCCCGTTTTTACCGTCCTCTCGTGAGAACCCGGCTGGTGCGTCACCCAGAACCGGTGGGGACCAATCTACACACAACATGAACGACCCATGCCACAAAGCACTAAATAGCACCAAGGAACCGACCCAAAATATAACGTCGATACCCGAATACCACATGCCTCGGGTTCCACGTAGTACCTGAGGGAAGAGGTGGTGAACAACGTGTGTACCGATATTGTGGTGGATATCGTTGAAGATACCGTAGTCGTGGTCACGAGTGGACAGACCCCCTCGCATGTACGACCATGCGCTTCCACGGTACCATGGCACCTAAGTACGCCAAGTAAACGAGAGCCAACGCGCGGATGTAAGTCTGGATGATGTTTCACGTAAGCGGCAGGAGTGAGCATCAACAGGACCGGAAAATATGAAACATTTCCGGCGCAGGAGCAAGTCTTGGCGCATGACCAGCGACCTACGTGATGCATCAGAGACCCAAAACACATCGCCATCAGGCGCAAATGATGCGCCGATAATTCAACGTACAATGCTTGTGGAGAGCAAGAGGTCCTGCATTTCACAGTCTTCTTGCTGTGTGCCCGTAAGACAGAGCAGACCAGAAACACAAAAACGCAGAGGCGAAATGCAATGCGAAAGGTAAAACAAGTTGAATTAATGGCGAGTGAAATTGCCGCCCAACAAGGCAGCTATTGTCCGCATGCAAGTTTCACCTCTCACAAGCACAGCAAACAATAGACGAGACCAAAACAGCGGTATGATGGTCTCACCTCCTTGTCAGTGTGGTGCAGGTACGTGACCACATCGAGCCACATCACGTTAATCCAGTAGGGCACCATGTATATCTTGGCCATGAAGAGGAATCCGAATTTGAAACACCCAGCTGTGCAAAGACCGGACATATTTTGGCACGGATACACGGATATCAAACAGAGCAAGTCAGAATTGGATTTGGATCGATACCCAGCATTGATGTACTTACGACGTTTGAGATTCTCATGGCGACACGCAATTTAGAAACCAATCTCAACCTAGTGTCCGCTTACCAGCGAGCAGGGCCCCCATCGCGGCGTAGCACGCAGTGGACGTCAAGACGTCGTTTTTCTCCGACGGCGTGAACAAGGAAGATTTGGGGTTGAAGTGCGACCCGGTCTTGCCAGGTGATCGCTGTGATGATGCCACCCAAACGCACAACAAACACACAATCAAAACAGGTGGTTAGCGGCACCGTCGTGCGTGGGACCAAGGCGATGTCGTGTGTATTCGTAGAGGCACCCGTTCGTCAACCCCCCTCCACAACTTCTTGGTGGGGATGGGCCTGGCCGGCACCAAAAAGCAGACTGGACTACACCCGGGCTTCCGGCAGTTCGCGGAGAGGTCCTTGTTTCATTCAGATGTTAATTCTGGGTACGTTTCCCTTGCATTAGATTATTTGATTTTCATCTCTTGACTGCGAATGAATAAGGCGCGTCGGAGCACTTTCCTGGATTGTCCGTCGTGCGCTGTGCCAAGCAATGAGATACACCAGCAGTGAACACAACATAAACACTTGCGGCTACGAATGCTTGCGAAAGATATTGTCGCGTCCGGTTTGGCAGGCACAAGCGGCGTAGCCACCACGGAGGGAAGCACGTGCACCCGAGCGCTCACCAGGTAGAGGTAGAACGGGTAAACCACGAGCATCATCCACTTGTTGAAGCGCCCCATACGGGCTCCAAAGTCCATTTTCTTCACCGTTGATCGTGAAGGAGGAGTCCTACGTGAAACCGAAAAGTTGGTTCGAACGAAACAGGAAAGTCAGCGCATATTGAGCACGGGGAAATCACGGTAGGGCGGCGTAAGAGCGCAGACGCACGAATACTCCCCCGTACTATGTATCACCTTGTACCTGCCACTACATGACACGAAAGGAGCGAGAGGCAGCTTGAGGGGTTGGCATTAAGGAAACCTTTTTAAGAGCACTGGCGACACGCAACCCCCACATATCAACAGTATTCACCAGCTCTCATCGTTCTCGATGTGTCCGTGGTTGGAGTGGTGCGTCCTGTGAGATATCCGCCAGCCGTGGTAGGGGACCATGATGAAGGAGTGCGTCAGATGACCTTTGGAAAAGAGGAGCAAGAAAGCGGGACGACGGGACACATGATCAAACATACAAAATAACGCTGTTGAGCAATTGGTCCCCAATCTTCTGCTAGGTACCGATCTTGCCAGGGAGGGCCTCCCAACTCTTGTCCGAATTGTGGAACTATTACAACGGCGGTAAATCATCGATAGAATTGGTAACCTAGTAGGGCTCACCAATAAAGCTGTTGAGCCTTTTGCTGTTGCTGAACGAGCCATGGCCGCAGTCGTGTCCGACCACGAACAGCGCCCAGAACATGGTGCCCTGCGCCAACCAGTAAGCCGGCCAGACCAGAGGGTTCTTGATAGCGAGGGCTCCAGCAGCGAGGCCCGCCACAACCACCATGTCTCTTGCGAGGTAGGACAGCGAACGGAATGTGTCCTTCTTGAAACATTTCGCAGGGATGGCTTTGCGGATGTCCGCAAGGGTGAACGGTGGTTCTGCTCCGAAGTCGAAGGCCGCCTTCTCTGCCGGCTTTTGTGGGCAGCAAACATCCAAGTACACCGGACATATCAGGAGGACAACACCATGATCGTTCAGAGCATGCCACGGCATTGTTGTTGTCGTCACATTAAAAACCGTTCCGATCTCTCTACCCAGCACCTTCATATGTCCGTACTGATCCAACGCTTGGACGCGGTCGATCCCCGTGGTCACAGGTAAACTTACCCCAACATAAAAAAAATGGACCCGATGGTTCTGCAAGCGCCATTACTTGTAAAAATCAACGACAGATAGTCTGGAGCCCTCCGCTCCCCCTACATGCTATGTGACGTCAAAACTGAAACTGCTGGAGGCGGTATAATTCCCGATGCGCGGTAAAAGAGGGCGCGATTGTGTGGGTTGACCATTGGATTGGGGCGTATGCTACAGGCCGCGCCACCGCTTGATAACGTGCAAGTTGCCTATTGACAGATACTTAAATAGAAGTACTAGTAAAATAGAGCGAGCGAATGGCTGTACACCGCGAATGGTTGCAGACTAGATACGTGTGGTACCCGGCGGGGCGAAAAAAATGGCAAGCCATACTGCTGTACATGGTACTTGTGTTCACGGTAGAAGCAGCAACCCCACCCTCTTATTCGGGCCCGACCTCCTAACGTCAAGAAACGTCAAGAAATGTGTTCACTGGTTGACCCGTTTGACGCAACGGCTTTGCCACTACGCATCGCTGCCGCCCGCTTGCCGTGTTTCCGATTTGACCGTAGTAGAGCAATGGTAGCATAGTAGCCCCGTGTAAGTATAATAGGATGTAGATTGTCGGTGGTGATCTACTAAAGTACTTGCATTTACCTCGCTGACGTGTGCTAACCGGAAACGTGCGTAGATAGAGATTTAACCTCAAATTGAAATACGCAGATGCTCCTTCACAACGAAATGAACGGCAGATCTTTCGTCCAACACGCAAGGAGATAGATCAGGTGCTTGGTTTCCCATTGTCACGAATTGAGGACCTTTCAACCTCGGAAAATCTCCAGTGACGCCAGCAGCAGCATCCAACTCTCCCATCCATAAAGTACGTCTCATTTCTCCGATTTTCCCACTGAAAGGGTACGTCTGGGTTTTGCATACCACACCATCGGACAAACCATAGACTAGACAAGATACAACCGTATCGTTGGGTGACACACACATGCGTTCGTTGTTGTACAAAATCCAGGCATAAGCTCTCTTTGCCAATATCTCAGGCCTCACCTGAGTCTCCGCCAAGGGCACGCTAACAGCTCGCGCGGCCATGTCTGGCCGTCCCTGTTTGCTTGGCTTGTGGCTCTCAAGTCCCATCCGGAGTTGGGCGGTGCTCCTGAAAGTCGGAAGAATGGAGTCAGGTTTCGGGGAACGTCCGAAGAGAGAGACCAGTACCACATTTACAAAATTCAAACATTGCTTCGACATACACACTGAACGCACACACATAGCTGTTCCGCAACACGCACCCAACACCTACCAGCAGCGAGAAACGTGAATGAGGTGATAGGGTACAGAAGAGCTGTCATGCACAAGGCCAATCCGGATATGTCTATTTGTGTCTATATGCATGGGTCTTGGTTGGTTTCTCACCCCATTACATGTGTCCCAGACAAAGCTGGTGCCATGAAGCCGTGCACGCCACTCTTCATCACTACGCAGCCTGTGAGTACGGCATTCAACCAGCATGAGCTTGACGCCACCCTCATCTTGGTCGTTCCAAGTCCCTGATTCGTGCTCTCAGGGTAGACAAGAGACAAGAGGGGAAACAGGGCCTGTGAAAAATGGGTGGCATGACGCATGCGTGCGTGGACACGCGGCGGGGCGCAGGAGCTGGATGGCTGGGTGGGGGGGGGGGGGGGGGGACAATCGGAGATTACGGAGATCGTTTCTTTGAGACTCAATGTACAAGAGCTCGCTAACTCAAACACATCAGCAGCACATATGTATGCGAAAGCGTGTGTTGGCAGCGTGTGAGCATGAGAGCAAGAGGATGCTATAGTATGCTTTCTTTGAGGAGACCCAGTCCCGCTTTGACGAGAGCTTTGACCAGGAGAGGGGCAGTCGGAGCAGGTGGAGCATTGTGTTGGCAAACAGTAAAAGTCAGTGCTGCATGTACGCACAGCACTGCTGACTCGATGAGCATGCCAGAACGAGAGCGCTGTTTCAGCCCGATTCGTGCGGACAAGTCAGGAGCCAACCCCCCTGCCAATGTTTGGGATGGTATCTGGGCAAGACTGGCAACAAGTTTGAGGCGGCTTCTCCGAGCTCTGGAGATACTGTTCCTCTGGTCTCCTGTTGTGGTCTCAGGCTCTGTCTTGACTGTACTGCATCGGCTGCCGTTGCTACCGAAGGAGACGTCGACGAACCTATTGGATGTGTGGTGGACTTTTGTGTTGAACATCATCACCAAAAGCGGACCCACGTTCATCAAGGTGACTGAAAGATTCTCCTCTTTGGTAATGTTTGTTTGACAGATGCGGAGTAATTTCGAGATAGGCTTGAAGGTGCAGCAGAGACGTCCACATCCAGAACCGAAGATACGAAGGCTGTGCAGCGCTTGCCGCCATTTTTGTTTTTTCGTGAACATCATTTGCTGTTTGGCGGGGTTGCGCCGCCGTTCCTTCTTGCAACTCTGCACATGGAGCCAAATCGATTGTCCTCCGCTGCAACCCGTCGCGCCTGCGTTGGCTCGTCAATCAGGCTGGACAGTGGGTGAGCACACGACGAGACACGTTTCCCGAACAGGTTTGCACACAACTAGGAAAGCTTCACAGGTTCACCAGGACCTCCACGAGGGCGCACGGGGAAGGTGCTCTGCAACAGGCGTTTGGTGACAGTTGGCGCCAGTTCTTTGCTCTAGAAGACGAACCGCTGGGATCAGGCTGTGTGGCGAGCGTCTATAAGGGACATATTTTTGCTGGCGAGAACGCAGGCAAGGTTGTTGCCGTGAAAGTGCTACACCCAGGTATCAAGAAAACGGTCCAACTTGACCTTGAACTGATGCGCCGAGCTGCGGAGGTGCTCGAACATATTCCTGTTCTTCACCTGCACTGGCTGTCGTTGGTCGAGTGTGTGGATCAGTTCGCGTCGCTCATGGAGATGCAAATGGATCTGAGGCAGGAAGCGGCGAACCTCGAGCGCTTTACGAAAAACTTCGAAGACGATCCGACGATACTGTTTCCAAATCCAATATATCCGTGGGTGCACGAGTCTGTTTTGATGGAGGACTTCTTGAGAGGAGAACCTGTTTCAGATTTCTTTCCGTCCAAGAACCTGGCCCATATGGGCCTCCAAGCGTTTCTCAAGATGGCGTTTCTCAACAATTTCGTGCACGGCGATCTTCACGTGAGTGTTAAAAGAGACCCTTGATTGAGTTGGTACCGAGAGCGCGCGTTGGAAATGGCCTCTGCTCAATCACCCGAATACGTGGAAGCACAGGCGAGTGCAGCATCTGACACCTGCCGCCTTGCCGTCGCTTCCTACATTGCCAGCCCGGAAACTTGATGGTGGAACGACGAGAAGAGAACGGGGAAGAGCGACTCATCTTCCTAGATGCGGGTATTGTATGCGAGCTCGACGAGGAGGATCGGCGAAACTTCTGCGACCTTTTCCATGCTATTGTGGTTGGCGAGGGAAAGCGGGCAGGTTCGCTGATGGTTGAAAGGGCACGAAATCAGCGGTGCCAGGACCCGGACGGCTTTTGCGAAGGGGTGAACGAAGTGGTGCAGAGAGCTAGGTCGAGCGGGATGCGCTTGGGGGAGATGCAGGCCGGAGATTTACTGGGGAGAATATTCAGGTTGTGCTTGAAGCATGAGGTGCGTGCCTTTCCCCAATATGTAGCCAACGTTCACCTCGGAGCAGCATTTTGGATTGCCGCTGAACATGCGTTCTTCCATCTGGCAAACAAAGCCAGAAGCTCTTGCGCTGTATGACCCGCACTCTTTCAACTAACCCAACGCCATCTCTTGTAACGCGGTAGGTCAAGCTTGAGTCCAAGTTCGCCAGGACTTTGATCGCCATCGCAGTTTTGGAAGGAGTTGGGCGGAGCCTGGACCCAGACCTCAACCTTTTGACGGCTTCTCTACCAGTGGTTTTGAAAGCCACGGCGATGAACAGGGCAGGAGTAGAGTAGAGCTGCAAACCAGGCAGGCACTTCGTACCTTGCGCGTATTGGTGCAGCAGCAGTACAACAGATCCATACTTCCCCAAGAAATCTATTTTACATTGGTGCACGCGTTTGGGAAGCAAATTGACAGGCAGCAGGTCGCTCTCATATATATCACCACGCAAAGAGGTCTAGCTGGTCTTGGGCCTCCTTCAAGTCAATCTGAACCTTCTTGCGCTTGTAGAAGATGGGACAATCCCTGTTCGAGCACAGGACGTCCTGGTGGAAGGAGCCTTGGCAGTCTTGGCACTGGGTCCACAATCGGCTGAAAAGCAGTTGCTGCTCGTTCACCTTCAAGGCAGCACGTCAACGACGGAAACAGCACGCAGCAGAACGTCCACAAATATTACTAACCGGCGTCTGCGGCAGGCACCTACACAACTTATCGTCGTGGCACCACTTCAGTCTTCGTCTCCTCTGTTGTGGAAGCTCACCTCTCGTAATTTGGCCGAGTAGATGTCGCCCTCCTTCGGCCTGCAGTGTGCGCAGAGAGTTTTTTCCTTCTCGCTAATAGGTGCCTTACATCCCATGCACTGTGCCAGCAATGTCAGGAAACGGGCAGCGATGGGGAAAGACGTGTGTTGCTGGTGCAAAAGATGGACACGCGATTCATGAACGCAGAATGAACAGCAGCAATTGGCTCCCTCAGTTCCCTGAGGACGGGGACCAACCGATGACGAGTTCAGGAACAAATGACCCACTCAAGGGGCTCCTCGCACAAACCCAACCATTCAGCACACCGCGACACACAATCTGACGAGACGGACCCTGGTCACACGCAACTCTTTCAACACGTGCTAGATGACATGGTGGTCGGTTAGGTACGGCGGCAAGAGCCCCAAGTCGTCCAAGCGTGGAAAATAGCGAAGTGAGGAGTACTTGGTCAAAACGTATCCCCCCAAAAGATATGTGTCTCGTCATAGGGGGGGCAGCCGTTGTTTTCCCCGAAAGCGTTCGTCACCAAGATACTCCATGCCCTTGCTGCCCTCCGATCTCCCTTCAATGTTCTCGGTGATTTTCAACGATGGCTGGCAATCTTCCATTTCAAGTTCCCATCGTCTCCATTTGTTTTCAAATTTAGACCTGTGTTAAATCATTGCCGTTGAACACCCCATGTAGTTCGTAGACCCTGTTATCTGCACCGTTTCCACCATTAGCACTAGAGCAGTACATGACAAGGAAAAAGGGCACTCAAACCTAGACCTGTGTCAAACCGAACAAGACTATTAGCCCAATGAGATGCTTTTCCGTTAACAGACGTCACATTGGAATCACCTTTAGCTTCTTCACGGCGAACATCATGATACCGCCCGCCCGTGCTGTTGGGGTCTTCTTCACGATTGATCGCGTGTGCTCCCCGTGCAGAAGAGCGGACGGGTTGTCGATGATGGGCTGTTTGTTCATAGAAGTAGAAACATTGCTACGAAACGTCATGAGGGGAAAACGCTGACAACTCCACAAACGTGGTACTGCAGCTTGCACTACACCATAGGTATGGTAGGGGTGTACGTGTTTTTTTACTGAATCACGTGAATCAGCAAACCTCACCTCAAACAGACGGCTGAGCGGCTTGCTGAGCTGGTTAGTGAGGTAGTACTCGGTGTCGATCGGCAAGTTGTTCTCGAGCACGTAGACCGGGTCCTCGCTTCGCTCGTACGCTGCAGCACCCTTGGCCGCCTGGCGAGAGAGCAAGGGTCGAATTTGTGGCAGCGCGTAGCAATTAGTGAATACACATGCTTGGAGAATGCCCAGCACAAAGGCCTGACTACACGCCACGCAGGACACCCGCACCTCCGACGGTTTCGCCCTCTATGTATCAGAATACCGCCGACACTTGAACGTACACAAGTGAGTGCGATAAGACGACAACATATCTTTCCTGGATGATGACGTACGGAACACGATCCCCCACGTTGGGAGCGGTGCCTGGGTCGCGCTTCTTCATGCGCATCGCAAGCTCCACGTGCGCCTGCTTGGCGGTGTAGCCTTCGCTGTCCGCGCTCTTTCCCAGGGACTTGGTGATGACGAGAAGCGAAATGTCCATCCTGTTCTGGAGAAGCTCCGAGATCACCTGCAGACGCAAGAGTGACCGCGTCGTGGGACAGTGAGCTACAAACTGGCTTCGTACACTTTAATAATAACATCGGCAACGCATGGTGTTGACCACTGTCGATCCTCGGCGGGGCCACGTTTTCCTCCCAAATCAAGTTCCATGACCACATTTCTAGGTAGGAAGACACATGCCTGCTTCGAGTAGGTGATGGCGCCCTGCACGTCCCTGTCTATCAAAACCTTTCGGAGGCAAGTGTCGACCACCTGCGAACGTGAAAAGTGGGCAGCAGATTCGGTTGAGGAAAAGTTGGGTCGTTTGAGGAGAGAACGACGTCTGCACATACGTATGGCGGAGATATACCGTAGTGGAAACGGTTCCCAGTCTCCTGCCTCGTGCACCGCCACGCTTGTTGCTGTCCTCACCTTGCGGACAAGCAAGCAATTGTCACGTCGGACCGTCTCGAGCCCCTTGGTGTCCATCTTGTCGTACTTGTCCACCTTCGTCCACAGCAATCCCGCGTAACGCTTCTTATTCATCAGGAGGTATGGCCAGTAAACCTGTGGCCAACGAAGTACACAAACCACCACGTGGACGAAGTTTGGTCGAGCACTTCTGCATCCAACTGCCAGCATTTGACAACGCCGTCCATACCGGGTCAAACGAAGACATGCCGCAAATCACCGTCGTACAACTATCAATGTCCAGCGACGAAATCGTTCTTCACCTTCTCGAACTCCAGCTTGATAGGTCGAGGAAAGATCTTGGACACCTCCTCCGCAGCCTTCTCCGCAAGCGGCATGGCCTCCGCCACCGTCTTGGAGCCAAACTTGACCATGACGGAGTCGGTGTCTCCGTACACCACGTCGGCGTCGTGGTCGTAACCGTTCTAGGTGTAAAGGAAGGCGCACACGTACAAGGATGGAGGCTTCAAACTCGGGCGAAGCTACCCCTGCACAGCTGAAGAACGTAAATATACGTCCCAACCAAATACCAACCCACTCTACACATTAAAAAACACGTACACGCATTCGCAGCAAACAGGAGAGGGTAAAGCGAGCACAACTCACCGCGACGGTGTACGTCTCTTCCACGTAGCTCCGTGTTCGGAACAGCAAGTCTCGCCCGTAGGACGTTGTGCTGGATGCGATGGGTAGACAGGGTAGCTGCCCCACGGTAGCACCGGTGAAGCCGTACACAGAATTTGCCGACACCTTTAGAAGATACACACGAACGGTAGTTGCGGCGAACGAGTAACGTTGAAAAATCGCAACCAGAGGATGGCATCGAAAGAGGAGCATGGAGCACAAGGTACAGATGTCTTGCTTCCGAGAGCAAAAGCCGTGAGGACAGAACAGGAGGCGTCACAAATTTGGTCCGCCTGCGAAAGCCAGACACATTCCTTGCGTGTGCCAATACCGACGCGATCGCATATAACGAAATAAATGGCAGGTCCTACCTTAAGCGCGAGCTGTCTGCCGTTCTGCACAGCCTTCTCCATAGGGTCTGTAGCTGCCGCCATGTCTCTCTTGGCCTGCTTCCGCGCCGTCAAAAGCTCGTCCAGAATCGCCGGGAGCAACCCCTTCGTGACCTGCAGATGCGTGCGTCCGACCGAACCCCCAAAACGCCGTGTTTTATGTTCCGAACACATGCAGGGAGACGGTACTGGTCTAATGTGTGCTCTTCCAAAGTACGTTACCTCAGACTTGACAAAAACGTCCCCTGACGGACTCGTGAGGTATTGGTCCGGCTTGAGCTTGTTCTTGTCCTCGCCTGCAACCAGGGTGGAGTAGCACAGGTTGTACGCCTGCAAACAGACATCAGGTCAGCCAATTCGTACAGCGATGACGCAGATGTGAGTGGGAATATCTAACGATAACCGTGTGAAAATGCTTCGGGCACGCTAACGCTTACAGTACAACATGCGCCCTTGCGCCAAAGACTCGCCACGAGACAAATAAGCCGCCCCCAAACACTCGGCAATCCTCCTCACCACACGCATGTCTGTGTAGATGACAGCTGCAGTCATCACGACCAGTGCCACCAACTCCACTTAATGGGCCAAAAACCAGAAAAATAGGCACCTGCATGATGGATGGGTACAAGGACGCGAAATCCAGCGTAGCAATCGGCTCCTCGTAGAACGCCTTCTTGGGCTCGATCACCGTCGCCCCTTCGTACGTCTCTTGGTCAACAGCATGCTTCGGCAGATTCGGGATCAGCAGGTTAACACTCCTCGTCTTCCGTAAAAGCATGGAGAACACCTAAACGGGTAGAAAAACGCGCACGTACGATATGATGGGTGAAGCGTACCTCCGAAGACGACTTGGCATCCCGTACACCAAAAGGAACATGAGCAACACACTGGTGATGTAGTGCCGGCCCGTCTCCTTACTTCACCTTGATTTGTTGCCCCCTGGAGAGAAGGAAGTTGAGAGGAACGCCTGTCACCCTCGCCATCTCGATGTAGTTCACCATTACGCTCAGCTTCTCCATCAGCTTCATGGGAAGCAGTGCATCCTTAATGCAGTACACCGCCAACCGCCGACGGTCTTCGTCTGAGCCATTCTGATGGTGTCGAAAAAGCAAAACGAGAGAAAAAAACAGGGCAAAATTATGGGCACTGCATTGCTGTACCCACAGTAGTGGGAAGCCTCCTCACCAGCTGGCAGAGTCGATCGTTGTTCGAAAATATTCATGGGCAAAAGGCTATTGCGAAACATGGTAACAGCAAGCCCACCAGTCCCAGAGTCTTCATCCACAATTTTTGCATAACCTACACACCTGCAGATCAGAGATGATGGAGTAGTGGACGTCCTCTTTTTGCTGGCCTAAAAGCTCCGCGGAAACGCTGTTGAGACTGTACGAGCTGAGCTTGTGGTTGCGGAACATGTAGGGCAGCATATCGAACATCACCCGTCCATCGATGCTTGTTTCCACGTTTTCGCGTTTTCCGTACGCACTGCTCTGAAAGGTCGTGTCCCTGAAAATGGAGCGAGAAACAACAAGCGAGGGGTTAAAAAGGAAGCGAGGTTAAGGTACAGGAGCCAGATGCAATCGGATTGTGTCCCGTTTTAACTATTTATGACAAATCCCGAGAACAGCCCTAGCAGGTCATCGTCAGGGCGGAACACAAAGCATGCAACACAAGGAATGCATACGCATATGTAACAACACCCGACTCACTTCATCGTTGCCATTTTCCCTCGCAGACGCCCCCACTCGCCGAATTTCTCGAGTTTCTTGCTCTTTCGCGACAGAGCCTTGGCTCTATTCAGAAGGTACGGAACGTCGAAGTTCTGGATGTTGTAGCCCGTGAGGATGTCCGGGTCAGCCACCTTCACAAATTGGCTCCACTGCCAAGCAAGGCGAAAATCACAACATTGGTCGATTACCGAGAAGCCATAGTTTACAGTGTAGCCCCGCAGGGCGGGGTGTCTGGCATGTTGTCGAGATAAGCGGGAACAAGGCATCACCAACCCGTACGTTGTCACAGCAGCGCAAGAACGGTCGAAAACACATCAACCTACCTCCCACAGCAACTCGTCCTCGGTTGCGTTCGAGATGACGTGAGCACCGACGATAGGAGTGCAACCCCCGAGGGTGAAGACATTCTTGGCGACCACGTCGTCGCTTCCTTGCACCTTCACGACGTTAGCGATCTGGATTACGGGGTCCTTGTCGGCCTGTGTGACGACATTTTCAAACAGACGCCAGCATGAAAACCAAAATACTTGCAAGCAAATTTGCATATGGAAGCTCGTAGTGGAAACTCAACGTCGCGCTCTCTAGGGATCTCAGTTTGTAACACCGAGTCACAAGCGCATGGGGCATGGGGGAGGCAGGCGGTACAAGGCGCATTTACTACCTCAGTCATCTAGAAGGAACAACAACAACAACAACAACAACAACAACAACAACAACAACAACAACAACAAATGCTGCAACGGTAAGGTAGGCTACGATAGGCCTACCTCTGGGAAGTGCCCCTTGCGTCCAGCACACTCGATGTCGAACGACAGAATTCGCAAAGGCGCAACCTTGTTCCACTCCCCCTTGCATGGATGGCTCTTCATGTGGTTGAAGAACACATCCACCTCCAGCTGACAGCGCGAGCGCTTCTTGTAGTCCGATCGTATCGAGTACGTTCCCTTGGGAAGCTCTATCCAGCTAGCCCCTGGAATTTCCTTGTCCACCTGGAGAGCGTACGCGCCGGAAGCTCTCGGAATTTCTGCTGGAATATGATTGTACCGGCCTCGCAACAGCTAAATAGTCGCAACAGCTAAATAGGAACGTGCTCCTGTAGCCGGAGCAAACAACAGGCACCAAAAGATTATCCTAGTTCCGCCTAACAAGGATGTGGGGACTAGTTCCCAAAACACCGTGCGAAACTCACCCAAGAGCCAATGACACGCGTCACCACCACAATTCCAGGCTCTCCACAAGGCACACGTGTGGGTCAAGAGGTGCAACAGATGAGACGCTCTACGCCAAGCCCCGCAGAAAACAGAGTCCCGGCCTACTCCTACGTTGTATCTCAACGCATATTACGTGCTTCAGCTCTGCACCGGGCCTCACCATGAAGCGAAGAACAAACGGCACGTTGCTCTCGTACGATGTGCTGGCGCACAACTGCCCGTAGCCATCGACATGGATGCCGTCCGCCAACAGTGTTTTCACCTGGGATGAGAACGGGTTTGGCGACAATATTTGTACATCAGTTTTTGAGATATCACCATTTTATTTTCGTATACCTTTTTTGGGTAAGTTAGCCTGTGACCACGGGAATCGATCTCGTCAAGTGCTAGACTAGTACGGACAAAAGAAGGTACTAGGCAGAGAGAACGGAACGGTTTTTAATGTGAAGACAACAACAACAACAACAACACGCAACGACCACACGCAACAAGAGCCGTGTCCGTCGCGTCTCGGCCAAGATTATATAAAGCAAATCGCACGGACAACATTACCGCCAGCACAAGACTTGCGCGAGGCCACTACAAACAGCTTTGGTGCCAACATTCGTTGGGCCGTGCTTGCCCCACGTATGTTTGCCACTCGCGCTCCTTCCAACAACGTACCTTCGGCAGCAGGCTTGGCATAGCAAGATAGATCTGCAGAAAGTCGCGCGTGTTTCCAAAAGAATAGCCCAGGAGAGATTGCTTATCCTTCGCGAATCCAACTCCCAGGCATAGACTCCTGATGCGGTTCTCGTCTCCGCGAATTCGGGCTCGAAGAGCAGTTATGATCGCCTGCTGTAACGCTCCACGGTGGCGGTCCTGCTCAGCCGTTGGACAAGAACATCGGGAGACACGCGTGTTCAAAGACGGCTTGGTAAGAATGTGCGGCCATACATGTACCATACATGATACCGAGTGTTTCAATGAATGCAAAACTATTATACGAAGTACCTGTTTGTTCAGCAAACCTGTATTGTATACGAAGTACGTGATTGTTCAGCAACCGTGAGAGTGTGACATGCCGTTCCGGCCACAGTTCTCAACCTTGGGGGGGGGATAGGGAATGTTCCACAGGCAGAGACAAGAGACAAGTGGTCAAAACCCGAAAATACCGGCCTGTAAGAACAACCCACCGCGACACACGTCCTTCGAACTGCAAGGCACAAATCGAATAACTCGTCAGGATACTTGCTGCGTCCAATCGTGTACCTCAAAGTTTGGGGGGCAGGGGATGTAGAAGTAAGGCACAAACCCGTGCACGTGAGTGAAGACGCTGTTTCCCTCCTCGGTAACGCCGTACAAGCGAATGACGGGGACGACCTCCTCGGGAGACGACTGTTTTGGTGCCTTGCCAGTTGCCGGGTCGATCTTGACGGGGTCCCCCGAGGTCATATCGATGTCTACCCACTGAACGAATGCCAAAAGGAGAGTCGAGGACAACGAACGGCGTTGGAGGGTGTGGGTGCATATGGGCACGGCGTTACAACTATTTTCATTCCATACCCCACCGTACATCATGCCATAACCATGCATGAAGAAAGGCGGGTAGGAGCTGACACACAAACGCTCTCCCTGTGTGGAACCTCTTTCGGAAGGAAAAACAAGTATTCAACGCTCGCATGCGAACAGCAGAGGCACGCGATACCAAGAGGGCTTGAAAGATCGACACAGGACTACAAGTATACAAGAAAAAGCTGAACGAACCTCACCTGGAACGTGATAGCCTTCTCCTTGGCTTCGAACGCCCGAAGTTGAGGACGAGCCCATTTCGCGGCATGTGTTTCACCACCTCCCGCCTCAGGCGGGGGCTCATCCATCATGTCCTCGTCCGTCCTCATCTCGTCTTCTTCCTGGAAAACCATTCGACGTAGACACAGTAGAGCGGGAAAAGTGTGACGCACCCAAGCGAAGTCAGCGCTAGGTAAGCGGCAACTGACAGCATTCAGCCAGAGACGGGATAAATGCGGATTGAGAGCGGGAGAAGAATACAAAACATCTGAGGCATCAGGCCGGTCGCCCCGGTGGGATAAATGGTATTCTACAGAATTGCTTCGCGGTTAGACTGGGGGTTCACATTCGCAAGGATGCAGCTAAACCGCCTCGCTGCTTACATGCGACCCGACCTGCGACGCGAAATCATGATTAACGTAATAGGAGAATCACTAAACCCTCTGGCACTAAAACAGGAAGGTACTGCTGTAGTAGCGAGGAGGGTTCTGTGTTACCCGGATCCGAGCTCTACCGTAGGGTGGCTAGAAACTGCGAGTGATCGTCTACAAAATGGTATGGATACAAGATTAAGATTGTTGTTCGGAAAGGGTCGTGCTGTCGAGATACTTGCTGTTCTTCAGGTCAAGGTTTTTCGTGGAAGCCTGCCTATGTACAGCAGTCTACAGCAATGCCTACCACACTCTTTTCAATTTAATTATGTCCCGTTGCCGCTGCTAACAACATTTCAGCTGTACGATCTTGCCTTCTCAGCAGAGGAGCCACGATCCCGGTTCACACGAATGCTCTGAGGTGCTGCCTTGATAACCAGTTTTATCGCGAAAAGTTGCGAAAGGCAGGAAAAATCCACACAATCCGCTAATCCCCCGGTAAGTGCACCATGTATTGCCGTACCAGGTAGAAAATAGTGCTCACACTTGAGAGCCTCTAGTTTTGGCATGGGCTGGGGTTCTTAGGTCCTCTTGTGGGCTACTAATGACCGCTACACAGCAGGTGTCAGTGTGTAGGGGTTCTCAACCGGGCTCACAAACGGTGCTCCCATTCTTGTGTCGGAGCATGTCAGTGTAAGTCTAATAAGTGTTTCCCTCTCAACAATTTCAAATTTCAGATTTCAACGGGTTACAGACGCACATGGCACACTGGGCGAGGATATTAAGGGTAACGAGTCAAGGGCAGATGGAAAAACCTCACCGTAGGGGTAGCAATGGGTAATTTTTTCATATCGCAAACACCAAGGCAGCTTCGTGACAAGGGAGCAAGAGAGAGAGGACGGGGGCCTCGACGCAAGACCCACAACATGTTCAAAATTTTGAATTTCGTTGGGGCGCGCGTTCGTGCGCTTGCTTCTCTCTAGCCTTGGTTCACCTGAAGAGAGCGCATGAGGTCGTCATCCATATGTGGTGGGGACTGAGAGTCCTTTTGGTCGCCGTTGCCCTTAGGTCGCTTTCCCTCCCCGTTATTGCTTCCGTTTTGATGGCGCTTGCTTGCCATCTTGAACGCAGCCCTGAAAGCCTCGTCCTCTTTGCTCTGTTTCCTTGAGATAGGAAGGAGACAACAGCGCGCGGAACACTGCCACTCCGGCCTGCCGCCCCCTCAAACAGCCGTGCACCAAATGCCGCGACAGGACAATTGGTCTTTGTTTCACTCTCCTGTAGCACCCACCTACAAGCACTCACGCTGTCACCCGTGCTTGGTACCACTAGCAGTCTGATCAGTGATGTGATGTCAACCAGCAGGGACACTGCAGAGAGGGACAAGCTTGGGGGGATCGCAGATGTATCGGTGATTATTGGAAGGTATGCCGTGCACGGTAGCGCCCGATGCCCGCCGACTGGGTCTCTCGCTCTCTCGCTCGGCTGCCACTGAGCGGCAGTGACATACTCATTGACGGACGAGACCGGGCGAGGGGAATTACACTCATGTCAGGCTCAGCGAGCACGGCCATGGATGCTCATCTACAGCGCTTCGGAACCAGCAACGAGAATGGAAATGACAGTGATGACAGCAGTAGCGCCGGTCAAAGAGAAGACACATCAAGCCATCAGTCCGCTGCTGCTGTCGCCGGCCTTGCAGAGACGTCATTCTGGAGCACCGTCTTCGCCGACACCTCACGCCCCCTTCCCAACACCGTACGTGGTTCCAATTTGGAGAGAGTTGCCAAGTTTCTTAACCGTGCTGTGACTGGCTCATCGTAGGAGGCCATCGTAGCATACAAAGCATACAAGGACGTGGTCGAACATGTGTGTTTGTTTGCGCGTTTGCGCCCTCCTCGCTCACTTGCGCGACACTGCTGTACATCATAGTAGGAAAGTGAATACAACACAGAGAGACTACCCGTTCGAGATATGCATATAACCACAGCAGTCAAAGGGGATGTGTTCATCTGTGTATGCCTGCGGCAAGAAATTCGAGTCGTGTCTGCAAGCTTACTTGTGTTTACAAGTACATAACGAACTATGCCCGTACGACCTTTTCCCAATGCACACTAACCACGCCTGACCTCGTGCTTGGGTGTTGTCCTTGGGTGTTGGGGTTCAAGCCCCAACGTCTGTTTCGGGTTTTCTAGTGACCCAGCGACACTGCTGTGAAGGGTTTATTTTACTGTATACTGTACATTCAGTAGGTTCGGTCGCCCGTGGTTGTTGACCAAGGGCTGGAAACCTGTTCACCTTCGTCTGGAGCAAATCTAATATTCCAAGATCAAGTCCGCCTGCGAAAGCAAAACAAACGCTGGCTCTCTCCGTTCGTTCTGCCCGCCCTCCGTCAGGTCCTCGGCAGATGGTGGCATGAGCAACAACCCATCGTCACGCGATTCGTGCACGACTACGGAGCGGTCCTGGTTCGTTTTCTGACCCCTTTCACGCCGCGCGCTGCTCGTCGAGCCGGGTATTGCTGTGGTTGCCGGGCGCTTCTCCGATCGCTGGACCGTATCGATTTGGAGCTGCCCGGGGGTGAAGGAGGCTGGTCCTCTCGTTGGCGAAGTCGTCGGTGTGAATGCGGTGATCGGAGATCAGCTCTTACAGAGGGCATCAGCTCGGTTTGCGCAGCAGTAGGTGGTGCCGGCGTGGCAGCCGTCATCATCATGGTTGCTGCAGCAGGTAACGAGATAAGCAGGTGTAGATGTAAACTGCTACTGTAGAGTTGTCCAGAGTAGTCACAACATATTTCGGAGAGGTCGCATGCGAACAAGAATCGTGCGTGCTTGTCGTGAACGTCGCTTTGCCTTTGCGAAGCTAGTTCGACACATTTCAATGACAAGAGTAGGGACGCCTGCCAATAATGCAAACACCGTGTGCTCTCGCTTCTAGGCGGCCGGTGAAGGAGGCGTATGCGCGCATCTTGTTTTATGTCAGAATCGGGGGGGCGTCGCAAGTTCGATTTGCTTAACCACAGTTTATCGCAAAAATGTAGCCCATGAGCCAGAGGATCCACCTAGGCAAGGCATCCGACGTCTCGCGAAATGACGACAACAATTCTAATCGCAAAAGGTTCCCTATCGTTTCACGCTCCTTTTTCTACGTTTTGCCCGGTGCCTCAAGTCTCTTGGTGTAGCTGGCGGCGGTCATCGCCCAGCTGGCTCCTCCTTCTGGGTGAGGTGGCGATTGGATCGGCCGGAGTGGCACACTACCTCGCCCGGGATGATGGCCACGCAGAAGCTAAGGTGCTCGAGGCACACCTCGTAGCCCTCGAGCGGTCCCTCGGCCCGTTCTTCCGTGGGGTGCACGCCTGCATGCGTATGGTAAAGTGCTCCCAAACGCTCTCATTTGGCCTACGGCTTTCGATACCCATGCCTCCGGTAGCGAGGATGGAGGGACGGCTACCTGCCACAGGAAGTGGTGGCCTTCCAGGACGGGCGGAGGCGGCACTTCGAGATTTGAGATCTGTCGTTATGGATGTTCTCGAGGGAGGCGTGGAGCAGGCCAACGTTTTGCAACTCAAGGAGCGATGCGGCGACACAGATGGCTTCTTGGAGAGCGGGGGGCAAGCATCCGACTCAGGCGGCCGCCAGAGCATGCAGTCCCTATCGGACCTGGCTGGTACGGAAAGAAGGCTTGTAGTCGATCTCCGTCGGTTCTTGGCGATCGTGGCTGCGAGAGTCGAAGGGGTCATGGTGGAGCCAGAGATGTGGGGCTTGTGGTGGGATAGCCAACTGGTTGATGTTTCGGAGGCTTTGGCGGAGTTGGCGAGATACTTCGAAGCGGCGAGTGGCAAGTGAGTCCAGAGTTAGTTGTAGGTCGCGCCATCCTCTGCCGGCTGAGGGGTCTACTCTGAATGATGCTGCGGTGGGATTTCACTTTATTAGCAGTTATTGGCAACAGTCGTGGGCAGTTTTTGTCCACCGGGCATTGGGCGCTTGTTTTCTTCCCGTGCTGTTTTTTACTCGTGGTTTTACAGGTTGGCGCTAATAGTGCCATGCGTCTACACTCCCCCCCCCCCCCCGCTTTCATTTGGAAATTTGGTGGCGACAGACGGTTTATTTGTTCATGTTATTGCGTTATGTTTCAGGTTGGAGACGGCGATTGGATGTGGTGGCCTGCCTTTTCCCCCCTCGGGTAGTACGAGCGCGAGCGGCGAGATGACAGCTGCTGCAGAAGCAATCTCTTCCTTGCGTCTACACTACGAGGAAATTGTCGTGCGGATCTACTCTTGCCAGAGCAACGCGAGCTCTCTGCTACGGGATCCATCAAAGAGCGCAGCGGACGCGTGGGAAGCTGTCCGTCAAGGTCTTTCCGAGGCGCGCTTGTCAACCGGACCTCTAAATTGTGATCAAAATCTCTGGCAGAAAGCGGAGGACCTGGTCGAAACTATGGCCAATGAGGTTGATGAAACCGGAGCCGCCTTGAAGTCTGGCAAGTCACCCAGCTCGGAGAACAACAACCCAGGTGCGTGTGTGATGCATCCGGTCGATGTTTGGTTTTTGGTCTTGATGCATTTTATTCCATCACTGCCTCACTTCTGAGCTCAAGATTCTTTTGCTAAGTACCTGTCCGCCCCGTTGGAACCATTGCACAGATCCCTCTCGCCATTTGGAAGCGGGAACGGGGTGGGTTTCTTTAGCAACCCCGAAAGAAGAAGGCCCTCGCGTTTTCGAAGGGGGTAGCGGCGACCACCCAAGCAAGGACGACGCGAGTTCTACGCCCGACACAGGCATCACAGACGTCCATGTCGGTGTGCCATCCCCGGTTCGCAGCAGATGCGAAAGACAAGAAGGCGCTGCTTCGCGACCGACACCCGAGGAGATCGTGGGTGAAGACTCGCACGAACTGCTTGTCAGCGAACTAGACTCTGTCCTTCGTGCAAGGCCGCTCCCGCCAACCTGTGAGAAGCGCCTTCCGCTGGTGAGTCAACAGTCGATCGACAGTGAGGATGGCAGCGACACGCCCGAAGAGCAGAGCAAGGAGTGGCCTCTTGGTGTGGCGACGCCTCCGACAGAGTCAGCTTTGCCGATAGGCAGCCAAAACCTCATGTCAGAGCTCCGCGCGCAGCTCAGTGGTGCTATGAACGAGGAATTTTTCTCATCGGACAGGCTTCCGTGCCCCGAAACAAGCGACGCAGAGGAGGGCGGCGTTGTTGAGGGAGAGAAGATCCGAACAGATTAGAGCGCCTTCACTCTTAGCCAATGCAACGATGCCTGAGTATTTATTTCGTGTCTTGCTTTTTTTCGACAACGGGTTGGCACTCTCTTTTCCGGGGTCGTGTCTATGAGTCCGGATTTATGCGTTGCTACAGGTTGTTGTGATGGTTTGCGTAGGACTGTAGTACGCATGGGTTGCATGGCATGGACGGTTCGTGACAGCTGTTGTATATGTTGTAGAGATGTCACAGGGTCTTTGTAAATATCCCGGCTCGATGTGGCGATTTCATCTACCGCGTGTGTTCCCGATATGTTCAAAAAGTAAAAAGTTGTTAGAGCAATTCTGCGGTTAAAATAGAAAATCGCATGAACCTTCGTTAGATTCTACCGTATGCAGAAACAGAAGTTGTCGTCGTAGGAAGATCTGGTAAAGTAGCACTCGTAGCAAGCCTTGTAATTACATGTAGCTGTGGAGAGATTGCATCCAACTGCAAACCCGCGATTCTCGATAGTCTTTTCAGCTGCGGAACAGCCCTAAATTCCCTGTCTCGCGGGTTGTAGACTGTGCAACGAACGCGTACACAGCTGTCCGTGCGTAGTTTTTGGGCGGTCCGGTCATTTTGAGCTACGTTTAGCCCGTATCGCCTGAGAGGCTACAGTAATTAATCTACTTCCCCTTTTTGATCACGACCGGGTCCACGAGGGCAATCGCTTTCTGGAGGCCACCGCAAGCTGTCGAACGCCGCAGCGTCGAGGGGAAAAGTAGGTGCCTGCATGACGAAGAACGAAAACAAGGGGAGCGGTGAACGGAGGTGATGTTGGAGGACATTCGCTGTATTCTGACGCTCATCGAGAGAGTAACTCCTGGCAGCACAGATTCGAGTTCATACATGCATTGTTATACACAGGACTAAGCAGCAACAGTCGACCATGTGCATCACCTGCGTCTTCATGACACTCTCGTACAACCATCTCTTGGCGCCATCTCTGTACGGGTCTTGTTTTCGAGATTCAAGCAGCAAACTTATCCCTTCCCGCACACACGACTTCGTCAGCTCATAGGCCGCTTGACATGTTCCGCGATCCTTTTCGTCAACGAGAGAAGTGTCGATCGCTGGCCCGAAGACAAAGTAGTGTCGTGCGGGAACCTTTTCGCGTACAGGTCAAGTCGAGGGCGGGGGCGGGGGGGCTCCTTCATCACTTATCGTGTTCTTGCACTTCCAAAAATGATCACGACTGCTCTCGAGCCACCTCTCTCACAACTCGCCACCATCAGTCTCCAACAGGGGAGCGACCTTAACGTTGCTCCGAGGATAACCAATCTCGTTCTTGCGATTGCCTGGTGTTTGTTTTCCTCTAAATACTCTGACAAAGGGGTGGACTCCATGGCACTCACAGGTCAGGTGGATATCCGTTTCTCCTCGCAAAACTTGCATCATGGATACATACGGGTTGAACCGGCAATAATTGATCTGAACCGCCGCATGGACATGCTAACAACGCGCATAATCTAGTCTACAATGTACGTAATAGTTACCATCTTCGCCAGTGTGCGAAATATTGCAAATTACCCGATGATAATGTTGATGAAGTTTCGCTGCCAATGCCCTACACGTCGTCGGTCGAGTAGCAGAACCTTTACCTTTGGGCGAGCAATTGGTGGCAAGAAGTACTCCTGGTTATCCCCTTGGCGCGCACGGGGAATGGCATCAGCTGCGTCCTTCATCTTTTCCCCCACGCCGAACGGCAGCGAGAATATTTCCTCCAGATCCATCCAAAGGGCCACGCTGAGCAGCCATGGTCGTGTCGGGTGGTGTGCGTTGGGTTATTATACTGTACCAGTAGTAGGTTTTGAATCATTCTCCCTACCACAGTAGCAGCAAAACTCACCTCATTTGCAGTGCGAAGCACGAGATTGAGGACTAATTTTTATTGAAAGCGCCCAAAGGTTAGGCCATGTCTTGGGTTCTTACGGGCGCTTTTCCTCTTCTATCTCTGGCCAAGCCAGCGATACTTCGGGCCCGTCTAACGGAGACATCACAACTCTTACTTGAGATCGTCCCCCGGTAGACCAATGGATGCAAGCTCACCTGCGCGACATTTCTCCTTTCGTCGTCAAGCTTAAGCTGCACTGCATCAAATGAACAATAGGGCATAAATCATGAAACATACAACCTACCACATGTATGTATGTGCATTTTTTTCCAACTTTTTCATTGCAAAGGGTTTCTATACGGCGCTCTGGTACACAATGTTCCTTGTGACAACACTAGCTCCTCGGAACAGAACGTCTTAACAGGTAGTAGCTGGCAGTGTTGTCCACTCGTACGTTTAGCAGTCCCTGTGCTCCAGCACTGATGATGCTTCAACGTGATCGGGCGCAAACGGAATGTCCTGCGAGCAGCTGCCTTCTCTCGGTGCGCATGCCTCCTCTTCTATACGCACGCAGACATCCTCTTTGGCACATAATAATAAATGCTCACTTCTCATCAACTCCAATAAACACCAATTTCAGACTCCTCCCCCCTTAGGTTGGATCCATCTGAAATACTCGCATTTTTTTTCCAACTTTTTCATTGCAAAGGGTTTCTATACGGCGCTCTGGTACACAATGTTCCTTGTGCTGGCTAACAAATCCAGACCTTCCACATCACTCGGTACTGTTGTCTTGTTGTCTTCCATTGCCTAGCTTTCAACTCTACTGTAGGTTGTTCAACTAAAGCCACGAGAGATGTGGTTACACTCGCATTATTACCTGTCGGCCGAGCCAACGGCAGCAAATGGAACGATCGTCGCGTTGAAAGATGCGGCCATACGAACAAATTCGCCCTTTTCCGGCCAGAATAATTGATAGTCTTGACCCTGTGTGGGCAAGAGGAAGATGGTGGTTCGTTGGGGTTGCATGGCGGGGAGAGGCTGAGCAGAGAGGATGACCATAATATTGGTGGCACATTGTTATTTCATCATTACATGTAGTCAGTCGCATTGTTTCGTCCTTGGCAAAGACAGATGATGATAGGCCCAGACATGAAGCGGCTCACAGGGGTCGTTTCGCGGGTACATACATACATAGGTGAACACAGGCTGCGTACCGTGACGATTCCGCCACGTTCTTGGAGAAACTCCAACTAACATGTTATTTCCAGAGGAATTCATTGTGTCTTGAATACCTTTTGATGGAGCGCCTCCTTCGCCCCTCCGGGATACAAAAGCATCGATTCGCCAGCCTTGAATAGCCTCAACATGTTTCTGGGCGTGACAGGTACGGCCCCAAGCTTGGTCATAAAACCACCCACTCGTTCGCTTATTGATGGCGATGATGCGGAGCCTTCGACCCGATCAAATCCTGCCACCCAAAACAGAGCACGCACAACACCTTAACGAACGTATCCCCTGTTGAACGTTGAGGTGAACCCCTATCATGGGCAGCCGAAACAATCAATCACCCGTGCCATTTAGGTCGATGGTGAGATATACTAAACGAGAAAGGGTATCCTAGCAGTTCCACTCACAGGCGTTCCCTACAAGATTCCCGCGACAGTTTTGAAGCGTTGGCATCGATGATACCTCTACCAATCAATTCTGATGCCTTGCTCAATACCTCGTTCTTCAAGGGCAAACGAAACACTACGGTAAGTGTTCAGTCATTCTTTTTAAGAGATCCATGACAGAACTTCCCTCTTAATCCGCATTCCCAGGGAAAACACAGCTGGACACGCTCGGAATTATGCCACGCAATAGCCAAGGGGCACATCAAGTAAAATCATGGCACCTTCTCGGTCCCTTTTGATGACCCGGTGCGCAAGGGACGCACCGTTTGCCACAGTCTTTGCACACGCTGTCACGACGCTTGCGATGCGTCTCGATGCTGCCCTGACTGTTTGTACCACCGCCGACGCTAACGGTCGCGTGATACCACTAGCGCCGAGTGAATTTGTGGCCTACAGATCAAGGTTTGATGGAAAAGAGAGAAGAGGCCAAGCCAAGTTTCATAGCACACGAAAATGACGTGCGGTGCGAAGGGGCTTGCAGTCATTTTCTGGTGCCGTCGACCAGTCGCCTTCAAGTACGCGACGGATGTCGGCTAGGCTATCTGGGCAAGAGGGCATGTTTCCTGAACGTGCTCGGTAGTCAAGTTGTGCGCTTAAGTGTCAGCGCAACCTACCAGAACGACGTTGTTTCCGCGCCGCACCTGTGTTTCGTCCGATTCCTGTTGCCGTTTGATTGTTTCAAACAAATCACCAGTGCCACAACCTGTGACCACAGGGTGCGCCAGCCCGCGTACCAAGATGTTCTTCTCAGCGAGTATTTTCCGCACCTGAGATACAGCAATCGCCACATCAGGGTTTCCAGTTTTCAGTCCATACGTTGGGGGCTTGCGTGAGAAGATCCATGACAGAGTGAACGCTTAAGATGAACATGGTCATAAAATAAAGTCAATCTTCTGCTGTTATGACAACAGTGCGCGGCGTACCAGAATAGGCATATCGATGCCCAGCAGTTGATGATTCCCCACAAACAAGATGGAGCGACCTTCCTCGTAGTCCGGAACACTCCCAAGACCATGGTTGAGCTCCCCGCGTTCGTTTACCGAGAAGAACACCGGGCTCGTGAAACGGTCCATCATCTGAACAACAGTGCACCGCATGGGAAAAGTCTGACATCGACGAAGGAGAGACCCCAAACGCACCCCACATTTGTTTTCGGCAATAATACGTTGCTCTACGGTTCTGAGTCGTTCTCCTTGTTTGGAAGTATCGTGCGAGAGCCGTTTCTCAGATGAACATTACCTCAGTGCTTTCCCAGGCCATTTTGACTCCCCTATCATCGAGATCTAGCTTGAAGTCTAGCACAGGGTCACCAACAACCCCTTCGCCCCGGCGAAGATCATCACCCCCACTCGTGTCCTGCAAGACCACACACAACACGCACAAACAGTCGCCGTTTTGGTTTGGATGAAATACGAAACTTTTCATTGTACGGTGTGGACATGCACACTAGGAAGAGCTTCCTCTATAAACGGCATTGTACGTTCTCTACCTTGTGCCACCGTTTGGAAGCTTTCTTGGCCTCCTTGCTGCTGACTATCCGGTCCCGGAAGTGGTCGTCGAAAATCACGGAATCCTTAAGCAGGGCGCATAGGTTCACCTCGCCGGGGTTGTGGAGAGCAGCGTGCCCCACACCCCGTAAAACCACCTGCCGATGAAAGCATGGGAGGTGTTGAGGTGTGTGCCTTTTGTAGAAAGGCAGAGCAGCTCGCCTTGTTTTGAGTATTTGCGCAGTTGTTGCATGGCAGAGCTCCTACCTTGGCGGTGTCGGCGAGAATGTTTCCCATCTTACACGCACCTGCTGGCAAGTCGGAATGAGATCGTAGAGTCTCGCGGCTTCTTCAGCCGACGGAAGCATGTGGTCCTCGGAGCCGGCCAAGACGAGCACAGGCAAGGTAAGCTCTTGAAGTCTTTCTTCCACCACCTTACTCCCTTCGTCCAGCCAGTGCGTCAATCGCCATTGAAGTTGATGCTGCCCACGAACGGGATCCAATTGAAAGGGTCCGCATTAGAACATAACCTTTGCCTTCAGTCTCGACGTTCCTCTGTACACACCATTGTGAGCTCAGAAGGTACAGGAAACCGCCATTGCTCGCAAGTATGCATACCTGTGGCGTTTTGTCGAAAAGGGCCAACATGCGGCCCAACCACTCTCCAGTTGAAGACTTGAACCATGCTACGAGTTCTTGGGGTGGCAGCGCCTCGAGCTCGCTCAAGTGTTTTGAAAACTGGGCCCCAGAAGCAGACAACACAGTGCGGGCGAAGAGCAATAGTACACATAAGTTCGGGCTAAAGTATTTACTTTGGAAAATTTTGATGCTTGATAGCGCAACCCCGGTGCTTGACAGCGCAATCCCGTTGTCTACGACGAGTACGCTAAGCCTTGTTTTCTCGTTCCCATTGTATGAAGCACCCACCATAGCTGTATCAGGTATGGTGGTCGCCAGCGCAAGCACTGCCGCCATTCCGAATGCCTCCGGTCCCGGTGCGTTTGCGACCAAAGAGCCAACAATCCGCCAGTGTGATCGTTCATAGGACGTGGCGGGATTGACCAATACCAGCCCTTTCACGTATTGAGGATCCTTCGGGAAGAGATGCACAGGAGAGACATGTTGAAAAAACGGGGACGAATAGACGGTGTGAGCGCTCCACGTCCCAAGTTGGGTGGTCGTCCTTTCGTATACTCCATCATGGTGCAAAAGTTGGAAGCGCTGCACCATCTCGCCAACGCACCCGTACCTGTAAAGCCACGTTCACCGCGAGCAAGCCTCCGAACGACGATCCGACGATGACCGCTTGCCTCTGCTCATTCACGCCAACAACGCTAAGAAAATCCATCACCTGCAAGACCAAGGCCCAATCGGAAAGATTTTGTCGGTTGCCACAAGAAAAATTGCCCTTGTAAGAGCGATTCGGCTGGGGTACAGACCAAGGCCTGTCCCGTTGATGCCAATGCCCCACCAGTACTCACCCGTTCGGTTAGCTCAACGAAGGTTGATTGGTCGTTTCCGTCCACTTTCAGGCTCCATACATCGAATGTGCCCGACAAATAGTCAAACTGGTCCACAGCCTCGATGTTGAGACCGTCAACGCCCGGAAGGAAGAGCAAGAGGTCCCGGCCCTGGGTGACGGGTTGGCAACGCACAACCATCAGTGTCTCAGATTTACTCGTTCAGCAGCAATAACTATCACGGTTGAATCGCAGCAGCAGAAGTACGTGGGTGCTCCTGGCAATACTCCATGTGATAGTGACCTATGACCTGTAGATGTGTGTTCTGTCTGGATTCAGGAGACCCTTTCTTCGTATCTGTTCTTCTCCCGTCTTCATCTCCCTGGACCGCTCCCAGTATGCAGTATGCTCTCCTACAGTTCTGTGTTGCCCTGCAATATCCTATCGAATACAGCGTGGGAAATATTATCAATCTCCCGAAAAAATTGCAACCAACCGTATTTATCTATAGACAAGGGAACCGGAACAAGTATGCCATGCTCTCCACGTTGTCGAGGGGGCTCATACCGAACTCTGCTAGCACCTCTAACGCCAACGCTGATGATACGGTAAGACGGCAGTTCATCTCAGCCGGTCTACATTTTGTAGTAAAAAGGACCAACTTTAGCGGGTTTGGCGAGCTCACCTCGTTGGCCGGCTCTTTATAGCTGCCTTCGCGCCCAAAACAACAGGAACCGATGACGATGTCTTGCCCTTGCTCCTTTCGCAACCCCTCAACCTGCATGCATGTCACGCATGATAGCGAAGGTTGTTCGTTGCATTGAGTCGTCTATTGAGCGTGTTCCTCCGATATGAGTGCTGGCTACTTGTACAGCAGTAGTACAACCGATCAACCAAGTAGCGATGAATGAGAGCGTGGCGACGTACCACAGCAGTAATAGGTATACAGGTGGTATACAGGTGCGATCCCGGAACACCGTCGCTGATAGTCGCCCACCTCAAGTTCCAATTCCTGGATGTTGTTGATCAGCTCGTCCAATGTTTCGGGTCCGCATTCCTCCAGAATGTCCATGGGCTCTGGGTGATGAGATGTCTGACAGTGAGGAGGGGTAATTTTACAAGCCGCAGAGCAAGTGAGAACGCACCCACGATACACAAAGACATATTAATAGCCGTGGAGCAGGGAGGGCGATATTATTACTGCTGTATATATAGAACTCGGATCCTTTACGTTTTACTTCTTGACTATGTCACTATACCCAGTACTCAGCTGGCCACAGTTTGATTGTTGTGTGAAAACCTAGTTATTACTTGCGGGGTGACTGATTACTCACGTGGAAGAGTTGGTCACGTCTCGCATGGTTCCAATTAGTTTGCTGTCGGATCCGTATCCTTTGCGCCCGGAGTTGTGGCGCCATGTTGAATTTGGAAGATGGCGTGGACACGAACCCTGCCGCACCAACCAGCCACATGAGACACGCATACGAAGCTGGACCAAGCCCTATCATGCCTGTTGTTGCAAAGCAGCAGCCAGCACCCTCACTCTCCAGTCTCTCCGTGGATTTCTCGGGCTATGTACAACCGATTCTTCGACCGGTAAAAGTCCAATCTGCAGACCCCCCACCTCGCCAAGTCCTACATTCATTCCCACACCTCACATGACGTTCTGGAGGAGCGGAGTCGAGGATTCCCGTGTCGGGGGGTTCGAGGATAGCCGCGGTACTGTGTGTTTCATCCGAAAATGATCCGACTGCGAACCAATGCACGAAACCACACCTCCAGAGTGCACAAAGTACGCAAAACTCATCTACGGCGTATCTTTCAACGGACGCTCCAAGAAGATCTTTCGGTGGTTAGGATCTTTCTCCACGGGACAACAAGCATCTTTGAGGCCAACTAAGCGAACAACAGTTTGTGCACTACACCCAACGATTCTCTCCTCTATAGGTGTGTTCATGGGTATAGTGCAACATTTTAAGCAGACACGCTGAAATAACATGTGCCGGCCGAGGTTGAGAAACGGAACAGGCGGCACCGACCTCGCACAAAAAGATCGTGCATGATCGATCCCTCGAAAATATTACTGTAATTTCGTATATTGTCATTGTACAAGGTTGATCGATCCCTCCTCTATGGAGCATTGAAGTTCCTTACGATCTCATTCTTAGGTATCGCGATGTGAGAACGCCCTACAGCAGATGTAGCGGGACCAACTCTCGGACATTTATTTGCGGTCAAAGTTTGTGTTCTGCACGAGGGGGCTTCTACGTGAATGAGGTCTGTCCGCAGCAGTACTCTTGCTCCGTACAATATACGAGGAATCATTGCATACAAGCATGCCACAAGCGTATCTGTAAAAAGCCTATGCGTCTCCTAATGTACGTAAACATTGTGGAGTGGCACTGCTCTGACACAAACATACGTACGAAGCATGTCTGCGTTGTCGGTATCTCATGTGCCGGTTGGCATGTAACGTATGTAAAGGAATAATTGCTGCACGAGTAGCTCATCTCGGTTCATCTTGACGTTCGGTGATCGGTCTCACTCTCTGTAGTCTCTCCGGGATATCTTTGAGCGTCTTGGCTATATCCGTGCCGTCTCCAGGAACACAAAACCCTCTAGCTATATCATCACTTGCTGGGTAACATTGCAAACAAACCCCAAAACAACTTATACCCAGGGAAATCACCGTCACCCAGGAAAAAAAGTTCCCTCTGGGGTTATCGTCGTATGGACTGCTGTAGTGATTATTTTTGAGTAACAGCAGTGCCGGGTACAAAATCCGGTGTATCCTCCGCAAAAACGCATTTCCGAGCGTCTGATGTAGCCACGAAAAATCACCAAAAGAGCTAGATTCAGAGCCGCGCCTATCGTCAATCCGACATGTTCGCGAACAGTGAGAGGTGCCAACCCCCACTAGAATCTCACGTCTACTCGGGAATAATAAAACGAAGCGCAAGAACCTCGGTGCAGTCACACGAACTGGGACCTTTCTCACAACATGCCGCAAACAATTAGTCTAAAGGTGGAAAGCGATAATTCGTGTGCACGCAAAAAAAGACGAGGGAAAGGAACGGTTGAACCCTTAAGCGATAAATATCAAGGCAATCGACGCAGAAGGAAGGCGGAGAAACACCTCCTGTGAAGCCTGCTTCCTGCGTGACCCCGGCTGGTGCGTCCAGAATTTCCAGAATTGTACCGAAAGGTGTAAGGACCGACACCCAGAACTTGCATCCCTTTGTACCGCTTGGAAGACGTTGGTTTTGAAACGCACATTTACGGACCGTTCATCAAGAGCGAAGATGCTGCAAAGCTTCTAAATTGGCATGCTTACCCTCAATACAACGTATCTGTCACAAGGAAGCTCGCAGCATGTGCCGCAAGACCTTCCCTGCACTATTTCTAGGCAGAGCCGGCACAACGTGTATCTGCCGTGGCCGTTTGTAGGGGCTAAGATGAAGCCCACAAAACCTATCCAAGACTGCCCTAGCTCTATCACAAGTAATAGGCCCATCATCGTCCTGAGCAGCATCGTCCAACACCACGCTTGCCGCTACCTTCTCCCCTAATCGCTCGTCATCCACGCCATACGCGGCTGCCTCCGCAACCCAAACGTGCCTCAACAAAACACTCTCGACCTCACTGGAGTGGACTTTCTCGCCACCCGTCTTAATCACGTCCTTCGCCCGTCCAACAATCATAAGTCGACCACTTGTTTCATCGAGGCGGCCAAGATCACCGGTTCGCAACCAGCCGTCAGGACGAATAGCCTCGGAGGTAAGATCCGGCCTGTTCCAGTAGCCCTTCATCACGTGGGGGCCGCGCGTCTCCACCTCTCCGACAGTACCAGCGCTAGCAGGACTAGCGGGGTGGGGGCCGTCTGACGATCCGCGCTCAACCACCCTGATCTCCACATGCTCAGCAGGACTTCCTGCCGTGGCCCACAACTCGTGCGCTCGCTCTGGTACGGTGGATTTCGTCCCACATCCTCCGTTAGGGTCGCGCTGAGATGCACCAAGAGATGGGGAGAAAGCGAACGCGATGGTGGAACCTGCTTCCGTGCACGCGTAAGTCTGAACAAACCTCGAGCCGGGCATGCAACCTCGCGCCAGACGCTCCAAACGGCCAGACATCGGTTGGCCGCCAACTACAACGGTGTCGACGGCTGCTAGCGGGTTCGCCGTGTCGTCTGAGGTTGACGACTCGCTGCTCGCTTCCTTGACCAGCATGTGCAGCATGGTAGGAACCACAACGATGGAGTTTACGCGTCCTGCCTGAATGGCGGCAATGGCGCACCCGGGAGCGAATCTCGGCACAAAAACGTGGCACCCACCGACCAGAGTTACAGCGAGAGCAGCACTTACGCCACCCACGTGAAACAATGGCAGCACGTTGAGGTAGGTGGTTGAGGATGTGAAGCCCAGCTGGACGCACTTCGCATCGGCTTGAAACACCTACCGAGAAAAGTGAACGCAATGCGCATCAGAGAGACAGACAGGAGAGAAAACGGTCAGGATGCTCGCGTGAGGTAGGTCGAGTGCGCAGTTCTTTCAGCCCCGACTCTTGTGCTCTCACATCGCAATCACCCAACAGAAAACTGAGGGGCACGGTATGTCCTATTGTAGGACCAGCCAGCACGGCATACACAATGGCAAAGATGTTGGGATAAGCAAAAAATTCTTCTCAACGTTAGGAACGCGTTAAAGATCATTTTGTCGCCAGCCAGCACCGCATACACAATGGCCAAGATGTTGGGATAAGCAAAAGAAATCTCTTCAACGTTAGGAACGCGTTAAAGATTATTTTGCCGCCTGAGAAAGCCTCACAGCAGTCGCATCGGCTATGTAGCTGTGCATCGTGCTGTTTCCCAGGCACGACAAGCGAAAATAGATTGTCACACCCCGTGGAGGGCAGGTATCTTGGAAGCGAGCATCTATGCGCAACCACTTCAAAGTGTAAGAGAACTCATGCAAAGAAGCATTCCGACAACACTTCGGATGTTCCATCAATGTCGCTTACTGGCTTGAATGGGCGGACCACTTGTGGTGCCGCCCTGCTCATTCTCTTCTTAGAACCCCTATCCGTGCCCAGTGTCGACGGAGAAAACGTGCCATAGTCGGCAGCGGGCTAATTATGTTTCCGACCTTAGGGCCCCATTCCACATCGCCTTTTGTACGGAAGGAGCCCAAGACCAACTGACCAATTGTTAGCCCTGCACCTGGCCCCCCAAAACGTTGTATGCGCGTGGCACGGCTAGTCGGCTTTCTCTGGCCGAAACAAAGTTTTCCCGCCCGTCTGGTTGACGACGCCAAATCTTGTTTTGACTTGATATTAAACAGCGAGAGGGAAACATGAAATACTCGATGCCACGAACGAACTGGCTCTTGCGGTTCAGTACACACCCGTGAACAGAACACATCTATGGATTCATCAGTTAGTTTTTCAATCGGCGTGTTCTTTCCCATCAAACCCTCTAAAAACACGCGATTTTTAGCCTTTTTCACCTGCTGCCACGAACGTGTGCAACTTCAATCAAAATCGCGTCCGATCAGATTGTAGCTCTGGTGTTTACGGAGGTGATACAAGAAACCACTCCAGAATCCGCTGCGCCAACATCTCTCAAAAAGAATACCAAGATTGGGTAGTTTTGGGTCACACACCGTCCAAAAAGTCCCACGCTGTAAGCACAAAAAAAATCTGGTAACCAACCACAAACCAGCCGATTCATAGCGAGGGACGGGTCAACGGCGTGGAGACCAACTGCCGTCTACGTAGCGAACACGTAGGGAGCGAGCTCAGAGGGAGCATTGCTAGGGGGGAGGGTGCGAAGGGGTGGTCTGTTTGGGGTTTGGGAGCTGGGACGAAGCAGGCGCGGCCGGCCGTTGAAGGAGCTCGTATTTTGTTGCGTGAAATTGAATTTTTCATGCGTTGTTCTTTTGCTCATGAACTGACTTCTTGGGCGACATTGCGTGACTCCACCACCGGCGCTACGCTGCAGCTCTTGCTACCGCTCCTGCGTCATGAGTAGCAGTTGGTGCCCTGCTTCCCTCTCAATGTCTCTTCAACCCCGTG